AGCGGAGCAAAGGACTTTTCAGGTCTGAATACACCCTTAAGAGCAAACTCTTGACGTCACCGACACCTACCTACAACACCCGCCTACCCCACTCGCTGATTGGTCGGAGGGGATTCAATCGGGGTAACTGCAGACACTAGGATCAGACCCAGACGTACATGTAAGGAAATAATAATTGACTGGAGTTTAAGGATTGCTAAGGCCAGCCTAGCCCTGGGTACTCGGGCTGTGGGTTTAGAAGACTTATTTTGAAAGGCACTGGTCCAAACATTGCGTGTGCCTTTCCCATTGTTGTCCACTATTGTCACGGGTCGAGATGCCTTTACAACAGTGTATGAAGGCCTTATACTGTCAGAGCAACTGCAGAGGACAGAGCCTCTTTGTGTCCATAACAATAAACACACATGCAGTCATTCTGAGTCCTGGGCTCCAGTACTAAACCAGTCCTGCTCCAGCCTCAGTCCTAAACCAGTTCAGTCCCAGTTCAGTTCCAGTCCAGTACTGGTCCAGTCCCGGTCCAGATCCAGTCCGGCTTTAATTTAAGTCCTCAGCTGAAACGGGACCCAGTTTATATTTAGAGCTCAGTCCCACTGACTCATGTAAACAACAGAACTCCCACAGCCACAGCCGACCCGGGGCAGAGAGGCGGCACGCAGCTGTAATGAACATCGAACACAGGGCAGAAAACACCTCCACAGTTCTGCCTATGACATCACAGATTCAATGCAGACCATTCTGTGTGGGGTTGGGGGGGGAGGGGGTGGATTGTGATGAGAAACTGTGTTGAAGAGTGTTAGTTCTGTGAAGTAAGTGCAGAATATAGTATATAGTAATCACAGTTTTGCAAAAGTAAATAGTTGTGATTTCAGAAACATGAGGTCAGAGTGGTTCCTCCCTGATGATGAGGAACAGATGAGAGAGTCCAGACAGGGGAGTAGAAGAGAGAGAAGGAGAGGAGAGGGGAGGAAGAGAGGAGAGAGAGAGGAGAAAGAAGAAAGAGAGACAGGAGAGGAGAGGTGAGGAAGAGAGGAGAGAGAGGAAAGAGAGACAGGAGAGGAGATGGGGAGAGAGAGAGAGAGAAACAGAAAAGGGCAGAGAGGAAAGAGAGGAGAGAGAGGTCTAATAGTGTTTTTGTTCAAACACAAATCCACAAGGGACTTTTATGTAACTACACGGTTCCTAAAAAAACACACACAAGACTTCCCCATGTGAGACACAGAGAGGACTGGGACCTCTGCTGCAGGGGAAGACCAGTTCTTGGTCTTAGGTCCGGTCTCAGTTCAGACTCTGATGAGATGTGTGGAGACAGAGGAATGTGGAGCAGCCTGTCACACTGTTTTGTTTAGACTGTTTTCTAACGGCCTCACACTGGTGCATGCTGGGACACGTATGGAGCCTCCCCACACCACAGGGGGGGCTTCATCAGTCACAGATATACACTGGTATATCCCCGTCCCTTCTGTCGTAATGTTCTGTTCTCAAACTCACTGTACTATGATGACGTCAGAGTCGACAGAGTTGTTTTCTGCCTATATTTTTCTCTCAAAAGAACGTCAATAGAACTGATAATCTCGGCTGTTCTTTGGCAATTCAAAGGACACAATGGGTTCCGAGTGACTGGTGTGTAGGGGCGATACTTTCTCCCGCGATTCAATTATCGATATGCATTTGCCAAGTATCGATATTGATTTTATTTTTTTTCAAATATTTTTTAATTGGTATCAATACTTAATATATGGCTACATTACGCGTCTCCATTCCATTTATCATGAAATAACGTGTATTTTTTCTCTTATTTATGCCATAAATTGGCATATTGTATATTTCTGACCAATATATCGATAATCGTCATATCGTGATAAAATCGTTATCGTGATATCGTTAACGTGATAATATCGTTATCGTGAGCTTTGTATCGTGTATCGTATCGTGAGGTACCCTTAGGTTCCCACCCCTACTGGTGTGTAAAGGATTGGTTCCTTGATGAGGATTTGTACAACTATGTCAAATACAGATTTTTTACAGACGGTATATTGCTCTCCTCTTTATCTCACCTCTTTCTTTCATCCCCTCATCATCTCCACCCCCTTCCCTCCTCTATAGTGAGTACAACAATATCAGTAGAACTAGGGCAAAGGAGCTATACCCGTTTCTGCAAGGTTTGAATGTTTTGCACCGCCCCCCAACTCACTCAGAGGCTTCTCATTTCCCCTACGCTCTCATCCCACGGAGCCATCTAGTTCTATCTGATGCTAACATTAGCACTAGCGCAACTTAAGCTGTACAACAATCACTGATGAAATGGTACAAAAGCAACGCACTACAACGTACTACAATGTGAGCTAGCTATGTTCGTCTTTGATCATTTTTTCGCTTTAGTTCCCTCTTCCCTTCCTCACTGTTGTGTCGTTTGGGCTGTTTTGCTGTGTATACAGTTACAGCAAGAAGAGTTATAGCCAATTCTGCTAACATGCTAATATGTTTAGCAGCGCTGTAAAGGCTAGAGGATGCAGCCTCGTTCTGTGAGTGGAGGAGAGCGGGTGTCACGCCAAGTCTCTCAAGTTTTCGATTAAATTACGGATTATAATACAACTTGTATATAGTAATAAGCATTTTTATGAACTCATAAAAAAAAAAAAAAAAAATCGGATATAGCATCTTTAAGCTCAATATTAATTTTGACATATTGTAAATATTGATATAATGTTTATATTTCACTTTCGCCGCTTTGCTTGCCTTCTCTATGCTGTGCTCGCCTGAAAAACCGGAGTGTAAATATGAAAGAAACGCAGGCGGTGTAGCCTCACAAAGTCCGTGGCATTCCATACAGCGGTGGACATAATAATAATAATAATAATAATACCTTTCATTTGTAATGCACTTTACATACAAATCTCAAAGCACAACAACAATAAAAGCACACATCATTAAAGTTAAAACGGTGTTAAAACAATGTTAAGAAGGAAACAGAAAAGTTTTAAGTCCTCTTTTGAAGTTCTCCAATGACTGTGGGGCCCTCGGGTGTGGTGGGGCCCTCAGGTGTGGTGGGAGGGCGTTCCACAGTTTGGGAGCAGCTGCCTGGAAAGCCCTGTCACCCATTGTCCGGAGTTTAGTTCTGGGGATGGAGAGGAGGTTGGTGTCTGTGGACCGGAGTGCTCTGGTTATGAATGACATGACACGTTTTGTTGTCATTGAACAATGTGGCTTCATAGCAGAGAATGTGAACTTTATACGCAGCTGAGTGGATAGCACTCTCGCCTCTCAGCAAGAAGGTCCTGGGTTCGAATCCCGGTCGGACCAGGGCCTTTCTGAGTGGAGTTTGCATGTTCTCCCCGTGTCTGCGTAGGTTTCCTCCGGGTGCTCCGGTTTCCCCTACCACTAAAAAATATGTCCAATAGTTCTGGCATGCGCCTCCTGTACTGGCCCCGCTCCCATCTCTGTGTGGAGTGAGAGACAAATGCCCAAAATTAACAATTGTAAACCGCTTTGAGACTCAGATCTGCAGTGAAAAGGCGGTATATAAATAAAAACTTACTAACTTACTAAAGAAAACACACAGATGACAGAGTCGGTGATAAGGTTACGATGCTAGAACTCCCGCGACTGTGCACTACGAAGAGAGTGGCTGAATTGGAACATGTTACTTACTATCTATGTCATCAGGGATTTTTCTTATATCTTAAATGTTGCAGAAGCTTTGTTGCAATATACACTGCCTTGAGTTGAGCTGTTTTATTTTTGAATGATGAGAAGGCAATATGTTTCATTTCAAGTCTCCCCCAAAAAGACTTGAAATTGGCAAATTTGTCTTTGCAGTAGTTTTTGGGCGGTTATTTATCCTGTAAAAATATTGAGTATAAACTGTATATTGAGACGTAGAAAAATAGATTTTTTTTTTTACTCTTTCAAACTTTTATCGTACAAGAATGGAAATCCCTCCATATACTCAGAGAAAAAGTGTGTTGTTTATTGTTTCACTTATTGAACAATATGTCTGTATAGAAATTATTGTAACTCAATTCAAACAGCCACAAGCTACAGTTCTGTCCAGCCGTATCTTCAGTTCAAAAAGAGATAGAAGCAAACTTTTCCTGAATAAAATGGAGACCTTGGTGAAACCTAAACACAGTAAGCCCAGTACCAGAATGAGTTTGCCCCATGGGTACATGAAACACTTTTCCCCTTAACAATAGGGGGTACTTATTACCCGTCTTCGCTGGTACGGAGGGACATAGTTCAATTCAATACAATTTGTATATAGCCCTAAATCACAACAGTAGTTCTCAGAGGACCTTACAAAACCGCTGATGTGCAACATATAGATCAGAAAATCAAACGGTTCAAACACAAGAAATGCAAAGATAACAAAAATCATAGAGCCATTGGTCCAACATCCATAAAAGGGAAAGAGAGGTCGAGAACCACTGCTTTAGATTATGCGCGGAATATTGATATTGGTATTTGAGTTATTAAATTCACCTATTTAAACCCTTGTTTGTAGATATTTGAGCACAACATTTCCCCTTGACATTGTTTTCTCAGAGTGGCATCATGCTGCCTGCAACGTGACAGCTCTATGGTTCCATTATCGGACAGACGCACTCCACTCGAGAGCGCAGCACATATTACAGCTTTTAACACATTTCCAACGCACCGATTTTTGTAAACAAACACGAAACGCATTGTTGTCGACAGGATACATCATTTATAATACATTGCAACAACCAGACATTGATGCAAAGGTTGAAATGTAGCCGCATAAGGAAAGAGAAAGCACAATAGTTGCCATTTTGAATAATTACTATGTATTTTTCAGGCAAATAACGTGGATTTTGATACGTGTACGACTGGTGAGGAGGACCGCGGACAGACGCATCGCAGCCGCAGTGGTTCGCTTCTGTTAGCATCCGTTAGCTCCGGGGGCTACACTGGAGGTTCTGTCGGGTCTAGCGGGGGGAGAAGGCTTCCATTACGGGGGGCAGGGGGAGACCCGTCAGTACCTGGTCGCTGGAGATGGTTCGTCCCTCGGGGTGCCGGGAAAAGCATATTTTTTCAGGTCGTTCCTTCACTGGTCGCGTCCATGTTCGCTGCAGCAGCTGTTTGTAAAGCTAAACCACAGCGACGCGTTTCACATCCGGTTACGTCGCTCTCAGTAAAAGTACGGAGCGAGAGTTGGTTTTATTTTGAAAGGTACAAAGAAGGTTATTGTCTTGTTTTGTTTGAGCTTGACCTATTATTGAGGAATATTCACACTGAAAAAGAGTTCAGGTTTCTAAATATAAATAAGGCAAATCAGCATTTCCAGTGGTCACAGGGGGTCACTGGCATTTCCTGTTTTAGAAAGTGAAATCTCTCAAGAAGAAAAAATAAGGATAAAGAAGGCATAATGGTGCAATATGAAGTGTCATTCAAACACAGGCTGGTGTGTCAAAAAGACAATGAAAGCAAAGTGTTGTTTAATCTGCTACTCACATGTGGGTCAGGTGAAGAAAGATCTAAAACTACAAATATGTCGCACGAGGCTCTTTGACTTTGCAAAATAAACTGTTTGATTCTCTGATCTGTTGTTAACAAATTCACAACTTCGCAAAGTCTTCAGAGACGACTGCTGTTGCGATTTAGGGCGATACACAATATACACTTAATTTTTTTGAAAGCGTCAAAGAGAATTGTCCCCTCATGTTGTTTATAATACAATTTGGTTAAACAATTTTCATTAGTTATCCCATTTTAATTCCAATTAATTCATAATTAACAGAATTCTGAAGAATTTTCTACTAAGTAATTTATTTTTCAAACCGATCGTCCCTGAAACTACAAGAGAGAGCAAGAAATATATTTAAAATCACTCAAGATTGTGTCAAAATCCCATTGACAAAAACACAATATTTTCATATATTACAATTTACGGCTCAATTTATGTTTGTGAAACGTGGAAAAGGCACAGAGCTCTGAAAACATGTGATAAAACTGAAACCACAACATGATACATGAATAACCCAGGGTTCCCAATCTGTGGTACCAGGCCCCATCATTCTGACACAAGGATCATTATTGTACACTTAAAATAGATCAATTCCCAGTATTGCTTCATATATTCTCACCGTTTCAACTTCTCATTACAGAGCACCACAAATGTTCAGTGTTACAGGTGTCGGTCTGTCCCATGACAGCTGTGACTACTGTAGTTTACCACAAAAGAGGAATTATAACACGTCTTAGGTCTAAACTTAGGCAAATTAAACATAAGGTGATTCTTCATTTAGGGAAGGAGAGACAGCATCATGTCCTGTCCGCTGTAGTAACACAGTCTGGCCACTAGTCAGACAGAATATAAAAGCCTGCGCATGCAACTTAAGTACCATAAATAACACATGTAGTTTATCCAACAGAAAGAGTCTTGAAAGTAAAATGTTGAGAACAAATCAGACCACAACATACTCTCTTCATCTCATTAGAAAACATCTTCATTTTTGTGTAAGAGCCCTGTGAGTCACTATTGGACTTTTTTGGTCCTCTCTTGTCACTTTCCTGTCTAAAAAAGCTGATCTTAAGTTGTGATGTAGGCCAAAAACACACGCAAGTGAAAACTAGTTTTACAAGAAAATTTTCATTGTTGTGGTCTGAAAGGTATATACCCACAGGTTAAAAGTTACAATCCCAGCTTTAGTTTAAAACTAAAAAATCTTTACCATGAAAATCCACCATGTTTGCAGCAAGTAGTCTCGTCCATTTTTGGCATGTGAAAAACCCTGTCTCCACCAGAGGATGTACAGACCAGACCAGTTCCTACAGTCTCCACCAGGGGCAGTAGAGATGAAGCTGCAGTTTCTCTAGTCTCCACGGGGCAGTACTGAGCGGGTTACATCTCGTCAGCGTGCACAGGTTTGGCAGAATCGCGTTTTTCTTTTGTGATCGTCTCATTGGCCGAAAGTCCAGCGATCTGCCTGGCATCAGGATCAGCACTTTGATCTGATTGGTTCGTCTGTGACTCTGTGGGCTCAGTGCTTGGCTCTGATTGATCGACTGCGGCCGGTGAGTTCTGGCTTTGTGATTGGACAAGGTCGGAGAGCTCGGGGTCTGGCACTGCGTCCTCATTGACTGCAGGCTGAGAGGAGGCGGGGTCTGTGAGAATGTTTCTGGAGATGACTGAAAAACAAGTGTTCGGCATCAGGACAGAACATTTTGGCACAAATGAACACAGTCTTACCTCCGCTCGGCCTGTAGTCGTCTCCAGCTGCAGAGCGCCGCACAAACGGACTGAAACTCGGCAACAGAATCAAACCCAACGAAACAACGATAATCTGCGAAAAACACACACTGATGTGAGTGTGTACCAGTGCTCAGGGACCACACTGATGTGAGTGTGTACCAGTGCTCAGGGACCACACTGATGTGAGTGTGTACCAGTGCTCAGGGACCACACTGATGTGAGTGTGTACCAGTGCTCAGGGACCACACTGATGTGAGTGTGTACCAGTGCTCAGGGACCACACTGATGTGAGTGTGTACCAGTGCTCAGGGACCACACTGATGTGAGTGTGTACCAGTGCTCAGGGACCACACTGATGTGAGTGTGTACCAGTGCTCAGGGACCACACTGATGTGAGTGTGTACCAGTGCTCAGGGACCACACTGATGTGAGTGTGTACCAGTGCTCAGGGACCACACTGATGTGAGTGTGTACCAGTGCTCAGGGACCACACTGATGTGAGTGTGTACCAGTGCTCAGGGACCACACTGATGTGAGTGAGTACCAGTGCTCAGGGACCACACTGATGTGAGTGAGTACCAGTGCTCAGGGACCACACTGATGTGAGTGAGTACCAGTGCTCAGGGACCACACTGATGTGAGTGAGTACCAGTGCTCAGGGACCACACTGATGTGAGTGTGTACTATTGCAATAGGTCCCATATTACATTTTTTGACTTTTGACATAATATAAGTGCTATTTGGTAATATAAGTGCTATTTGGCCTTCATACAGACTCTTCTATTGTAATTGACAGGGGGAGAAATCAAAACAGCCCCTGTGCTGAGCAGATACAGACACTTTATTTTACTACTTTACTTTACTACTAGCTGCTGATAATGGACAAGTGTCAGTGCTGGTCCTACTGGACCTTAGTGCTGCATTTGACACAATAGACCACAGCATTCTACTGCAGAGGCTAGAATGTGATATAGGTCTTAGAGGAACAGCCCTTGGCTGGTTTAAATCCTATTTATCAGATCGGTATCACTTCGTCAATGTGAATCAGGACTCGTCGCCTTATTCTGGAGTGGAATTCGGTGTGCCGCAGAGTTTTGTACTCGGACCGATTCTTTTCACTCTCTACATGCTGCCGTTAGGAAACATCTTTAAAAAGCATGGAATTAACCTCCACTGCTGCAGATGACACACAGCTTTATCTGTCGATGAAGCCTAATCAGACAGATCAGCTGAAAAGGCTTAGTGCCTGCATAAAGGACCTTAAAACGTGGATGACTCCTAACTTCCTACTGCTTAATCTGGAGAAGACAGAAGTGATCCTACTCGGTCCGAAGCGCCTGCGTGACTCTGTTGCCGACCAGATAATTACTCTCGATAATGTCAGTATTATACCCAGCAACACTGTGAGGAATCTTGGAATCATTATTGACCAAGAAATCTCCTTCAAGGCTTATATAAGCCAAGCAACTAAAACTGCGTACTTTCACTTGCGGAACATCGCTAAAATCAGGAATATCTCTCCTAAAAGTGACGCGGAAAAACGGATCCACGCTTTTGTCACCTCAAGGCTTGACTACTGTAACGCGTTGCTGGCAGCGTGCCCTAAAACCTCTTTGAAGAGGTTTTAGGGCACGTTCAAAATACAGCAGCAAGGGTCTTAACGGTCACCAAAAGGAGGGAGCATATAACCCCGGTGTTAAAATCACTCCACTGGCTCCTGTGGAGTACAGAATAGAGTTTAAAATCCTTCTTTAAACATACAAAAGCCATAAATGGCTTGGCTCCTTCTTATCTTCAAGACACGTTAGTGTCATATCATACCAAACAGTCTGGTGGTGGTCCCTAAGGTCTCAAAAAGCACTGTCGGCAGCAGAGCATTTAGCTACCAAGCTCCTTCACTGTGGAATCAGCTTCCCATTCATAAGCAGATACGGTCTCCACATTCAAGGCCAGGCTTAAAACACTCGACTTTAATTTAGCATATGGATTTTGACTGTAGTGTGTTCATTGCTATTCATTCGTTGTCCTATTGTCTGTTTCATGGCGCGACAATGGGACCTCTGAACCGGCCCTCTCCATCTTGCGGACTGCCCTGCCCCCCTCCATCTACACCTGCGGACTGCCCTGCCCGACCCGCCTGGGAGCACTTCAGTCCTGCACCGGACCTGTCCACACTCTGCAGCCGCTCCGTGGCATTGGTCCTCGTTCTGTAGCTTAGGTCCAGGATCATTAGCCTGTCCGTCCGTGTAGGAGCGGATCCCTTTCTCAATATGTGGGTCTCTGAGGTTTCTTACTTTTTTTTTCTTTTCCTTGCCGATGCAGGAGGGTCTGTTGGACAGTTAGTGTCCAACTAGAAGGACTGTGGTGATGATCCAGGACACTTTAACATTCTACAACATGTATGGACATCAACATTCATGGACATTGGTCTTTCCCTATGGACCAATACATATGTGTATATTTTGTGTTTTAACTGTTGATTCTCTGATCTGTGTTGGTGATGTCAATGGTTTTGTTAAGTCCTCTGAGATGACTGCTGTTGTGATTTGGGGCTATACAAGAATAAGTTGTTGTTGTTGTTATTGATCCCTGTAGGAGAAATTCAGGTGTGCAGTAGCAGCAACAATAAAAATAGGTGATGCAGTGTAGCTTCCAGCTGGAGCAGGACGGGTCGCAGCAGCAGAGGTGGAGTAGCTTCCGGGTTGCGCAGGATGGGTCACAGTAGAAGTGATGGCGTAGCCTCTGGGTGGAGCAGGACAGGTCACAACAGCAGAGGTGGAGTAGCCTCTGGGTGGAGCATGACAGGTCACAACAGCAGAGGTGGAGTAGCCTCTGGGTGGAGCATGACAGGTCACAGCAGCAGAGGTGGAGTAGCCTCTGGGTGGAGCAGGACGGGTCACAGCAGCAGAGGTGGAGTAGCCTCTGGGTGGAGCAGGACAGGTCACAACAGCAGAGGTGGAGTAGCCTCTGGGTGGAGCAGGACGGGTCACAGCAGCAGAGGTGGAGTAGCCTCTGGGTGGAGCAGGACAGGTCACAACAGCAGAGGTGGAGTAGCCTCTGGGTGGAGCAGGACGGGTCACAGCAGCAGAGGTGGAGTAGCCTCTGGGTGGAGCAGGACAGGTCACAACAGCAGAGGTGGAGTAGTCTCTGGGTGGAGCAGGACAGGTCACAAGGTGGAGTAGCCTCTTGGTTCTGACCATTTTCTCTGCTAAAGTAAAATGCTAAATGCATTTTGCAAAAAGTTAACATCGTCCAGTGGATTTGCGCCTGATCCTCTTGGTTGGGACCATGAATCCTCTGTGCTCTGTCAGGATCAGAGTAAAAACATGAACACTGTACTGCAGCAACATCTTGGGTAAAAAAAAGTAATAAAAATAAAAATTGTAAAGCACATAACAACAACTACTTCAGAGCTACTTAGGACTTGCAGCCGTTCTCCAACGCATTCAAAAATAAAACACGCATTCAAAAATAAAACACCCAATTATAATAATTGGATATGTTATTACTAGCTTATAGCAGTCCCACCCATGGGAACGGAAGGGGGGCACCCATGGTACTGCAGAGTAAATTCTTGTAGGCTACCCAGAAAAATGTCCCATAGAACTCAATGTAAACTACAGCTCGATCTCAGCTGACAGAACCTACAGCTTTCATAAAGGTCAGATTTTGTGGGGATATTAGTGTCCCTTGACATCCTGAACTTTTTTTCTTCCTAAATCCTTCAGTTTTCATTAAATCCACACTTTAGTGCAACAAACTCTGCTCATTTGCCTCCCGCTCTAACTACCCTCTCCTCAGCAGCTCTGTGCACGTGCATGAGTGCCACACACGTCCACTTCGCAGAATTTAGCTAATATTTTGGTGCCCATGGTGGCACAGGCCACCGGGGGCTTGGTCTCGAGTCCCACGTGTAGTCCTGCATCTACCACAGTCTGTGTTTGCTTCACATCGAGCCGCTGTTTTTGTGCTATTGTCGCCGACTAAAAGTCATGTCAATTTTGATATAATGTGTTTGTGAGCGTAAATATGTGATGACACTATTTGGCCCAACACTGAAGTGAGTGTGTCCCAGTGCTTAGGGACCACTCTGACGTGAGTTTGTACCAGTAAACAGGTGCTGGTCTGAGCTCCTTTAGAAACAGTTTTCTTGATCAGATTCTGAAGCTGACAGAGCTGTGACATAAGGGACCTGCAACACAAACACAACTCAGGACCAATCTTTACAACTAACACACGCGCACACAGACAGATGCACAGGACTCACATGTTGTTCTTCTCCAGCTGCTCCACTTTCCTCTGCAGCTCCTGGTTCTGAGCTGAACACTGTGCCGCCCTGAGGTCACATACAGTCATTGTAATTCTTTGTTTATTTTCTTTTGGTGAGAAATCAGAAGCTGCTTTACTGGATTCTCAGGAAGTAGTTCCAAGATCACAGTAATATTGTGTAGTTATAAGATCAACTCTGAATCCTAAATATATGCAGTATATATTATACTATAGTGTCCTGCCGTGGTCTTTACCTGTTCTCCAGCTCGTCCACGTACTCCTTCTTGCGGCGGCGGCTGTCCTGAGCAGATTGTTTGTTCCGGATTTTTCTGCGAACTTTCCTTAGGATCTTCTCCTCTGCCTGAGACACAATACTCTGTGTTACATCTGTTCTCAGAACACTCTGTGCTGAATGTCTGTCCTGTATGCTGGGGGACAGTACCTTGGTCAGAGGAGCGTCGTTGGGAAGTCTCACTCCCTCCTGGTTCAGAAGTTTCTGCTCCTCCTCCGTGAGCTGCAGCTCAAGGCCCTGAGGACACCACACAAGACTGCCTCACAAACTGTAATGTATACATCAGATTGAGGGAAATAAGGACCATTTAAGCAGCGTGTGTGTGCGCGCGTCTGTGTACATGTGTGTGTAGCAGGTGTACGTGTGTGTACATGTGTGTGTAGCAGGTGTATGTGTGTGTACATGTGTGTGTAGCAGGTGTACGTCTGTGTACATGTGTGTGTAGCAGGTGTACGTGTGTGTACATGTGTGTGTAGCAGGTGTACGTGTGTGTACATGTGTGTGTAGCAAGTGTATGTGTGCGTGCAATTCTGTAACAACAAACATGTTTGGCGAACCATTCATAAAATAGGACAATGTCATTTTTTAATAGTATGTGCACAACACTGCACATACTTTTATCTTGAAATACAGTGTAGTCATTTTGTTTCATTTCTTATCATTCATAAATAAGAGTAGATTTAACAACACAAAAATATAAATCATAAAATGTAACAATTATACACCATAAACAAACTACATGTTAACCCTTTTTTCAAGACTATAATTGCATCTTGTGACATCATCAATGTGGCGGCCATATTGGAAAACTTCAGTTTTCATACATCCATCCATCCATCCATTTTCTTCCCCTTAATCCATTTCTGGGTCAGGGGGGTGACAGTCAGAGCTGCACCCAGTACACATAGCACCAGCCCCTTACGGATCCTCCTGCAGGTGCTGAGTCCACAGGAGCTGAGATCTTTCAGTTGGGGCTTTTGGGCAAAGTAGGGTTAAGTGTCTTGCCCAAGGACACAACGACAGCAGTCATCAGTGGGAGTCGTGAAGTAGTTCTTACGGTGGGCTCGAACCCACGACCTTCAGGCCCAGAGGCCAATGCTCTACCAACTGAGCTACTGTCGCCCCTTAGTTTTCATACAAAGATTTCAAAAATCTGTAGTTTGAGAGTGGTTAAAAATAAGGGAATACTGTCAACAGTCTATGTGAAATATCTAAGTATAAAATGAAAACAGTGAAATGAGGCAGAATTTATTGTTTAGAAACTAGGGCTGTCAAAATTATTGCGTTAACTCACGTTAATTACATTTTTCATCAACGCTTTAAAAAAATTAACGCATTAACGCATGTCCGAATGACCCGCCCATTTATCCATGATATCACTCAGAAGGCTGCGTGTGAGATGCATCAGAGCAGGTAGGCCTTCTGGGAATTCATGTTTTAAAAGAATACGCGCGTCACCGCGGGCTGTTGTTTGCTGTGAACTGAAGTCCGCCTCCTCTGCGGCCGCTCTGACTGTGAGCCACTAACAACAACACGGCTGTGAGCCACTAACAACAACACGGCTGTGAGCCGCTAACAACAACACGGCTGTGAGCCACTAACAACAACACGGCTGTGAGCCGCTAACAACAACGCGGCTGTGAGCCGCTAACAACAACGCGGCTGTGAGCCACTAACAACAACACGGCTGTGAGCCGCTAACAACAACACGGCTGTGAGCGGCTGTGAGTGAATGGCGCCGCGGTAACATCGTCATATAAGACCAAACACGCCACAAAACTATTGTCTGCATGTTGTGTTTGTGTCTTTGCAACCTGTGCGTAACCTATGCACGCAAATACACCGCTAAAGTGTCTGTGTCTCCTCCTGAAACTAAACTAAACTAAACTCGCTGAATTAAAGTAAATTGCCCCCTTTCATTAACAGCTCATTTTGGTTGTGCCCAAAAGCAAAAGGTTGTGAGCAAATCTTACAGATTTAAGTACATTTGGTATGAATGACAATGTGTCATTACATTTGATAATCTCATTTTACTTCAATTGGAGTGGATTTTAAATAGAATGTTAAAAGTGTGATTAATCGTGAGTTAACTCACAATTTCAGTGCGATTAATCAAATAAAAAATTTTAATCGTTTGACAGCCCTATTAGAAACAGATTAAATGAATCAGATCAGAACTTGTCAGATTGTCTCCACAATAAACAACAGGCTCTTCAAAGTTTCTGATACTTAACCTCTTCTCATCATCATCATCGTTATCATAGCCACCGGTGCGGCAGAGAACGCAATTAGGGTCTTGTCCTGCGTCACCCACGCTTGACACGCCTGTCCCGCCACCCGTAGGGCATTTATCACGGGGGTCGTGGGCTAGAAACTTTGGGAAGCCCTGTGTTATACTGTGTGCTATATCTATAAATGTGGGTTCAAAAATCATTTATTTTGTTTCACTGGCATAGACTGTCATGCTGGGTCACATGACGCACGCGGGATCTCCGGCATGCGTGTTTATGAGTAAGTGCGTATCTGTGTGTACATGTGTGTGCAGGTGTATGCGTGTGTGTGACCTGCTCCAGAGGCTCAGAGGATCCAGACAGCAGCTCGTTCACCACACAGGAGCCGGAGAGGAGCTGTTCTGAGAGCAGCAGCTGAGACCAAGGATCTGTGGAAACAACAGACTGTTACACCACTAGTTTAACAGCGGAACTTCCAAGTTCAGGCCCTTAAGTGTGTGTGTGTGTGTGTGTGTTTGTGTGTGTACCTTCTACTCCATACAGCCAAGAAACACTTCGCTCCCATTCTGTATAAATTACACCTGCATTTGAACAGGCCTTTGAAAAACGAATAGGCCGCAAGACAGGTGAGAGGCTGAGTCGTCCTGACACACCAGCCTGTATCTGTGTGTGAGAAGAGTGGGAGAGCCACCAGAGGGCAGCATTCTCTCTGTTCTCACCCAGTTCGATGGAGATGATGTTGTGTTGGTTGAGAGCTGAGTCACCGACATCGTACACCAGCTGGAACACTGGGGTCTGAGGTGCTCCTGAGTCCCGGTCCTGGTCCGGACCCTGGTGTGGGCCCTGGTCTGCTCTATGGAGTAACGTCTCCTCTGAAATGCCACTGTCGCTCTCTGAGGACTCTGCGACTCCGTGTGAAGGAAAGACGTCATTTGGATCGACCGCATGAAGCAGCTCCTCAGTCTCACTGTCGACTAGAGCCTGAGGAATATGTCTAATTAAAGCTGGGTCACATAACTTTCAGACCACAATGAAATCAATATCACTAGTTTCTGGCTCTAAAACAGTTTGCTCTATTTTCACATGTATATATGACTAAGCTGTGATAATATAAATCTATTATCACAACTTAGGTTCAGCTTTTTCAAACAGAAAAGTGAAAAAGAGAGGATCACCCTCACTCAGCCAATTTGCTCTCAGCCTAAATAGTCACTCACAAGGCTCTTTTTTACACAAAGGATAACATGTTTTGTTTTCTAATGAGAATGGCAGCATGTTGTGCTCTGATCTGTCTCTGATGTCATAACATCTTACTGACTCTGTCGGACAAACTTCATTTGTTATTTATAAGACTAAAGTTACAGCTATAACTTGTGCAATAAGTTGCAAACAGAGCCTTTCAGACAGAAGGGGAGGGGGTATGGAGCTGGACCGGGACCTGTGATGATGATGAGCACTTACGGTTTCTACAGCCCATGTCTGCAGAGGCTTCGGGACCTGGACTGGGACCCCCAGACCCCAGTCCTCAGGGGGAGCGCTGAAGAGCACCGGGTCCATGATCTGTACACACACGTTTAAATTATTTGCTGACGTCTGTGACTTCATCAGTGAGAGAAACCACAAACACACACACACACAAACTCACTCACACACACACACACTCACTCAAAACACACACAATTTATTACATTTATTAGCGTTTTTTAACTTAATACATTCACTTTATCAGTTAAATCCAATACTTTATTTCAAGTGCAGACAGACACCTTCGCCTTCTTCGTCATCTTCATCGCGTTCTGTTTCTAAACTCTATGCCAAAACGGATGTATAATGATAATTTCAGGAAAGTTAAAACTACGAGGGTGTTATCAACCATTATGTTGGTAATCGATGGGTTCTACCGATCCTAAAGTGATGAGACTTTACATTTAACAAAAACAAAGCTGAACAAAGCCCTGGAGAACATTTTTATAGAAATTATAACAGTAATAATATCAATAACAATAGGACGTCCGTTTTAGCACCAGTTTGTATGCTGTTGTTGCTGTATAGAACATTATACAGGGTTTAAATCCCCAAACCTCACGTGTTCAAAGTTCAAAACTCTTTGAAGTTGAAGTGACGTTACCAGTTTGCGTCCGCGGCCTGATCCTGGTGCAGCCGGATCTGCAGCTCTGTGTCCTGGGGAGAGAGACGGACTGGACCGGGAACAGAGGCTGGAGCTCCGAGCGACAGTCCCAGGCGGTCACCTCCTCAAGGGCTCATGTCAGCGGGAGACAGCTCCTTTCGCAGCCGTGGCAGATCTCCACACGCAGCCGAGAAACACGCTCCTCAGCTCGGCTTCAGCTGCAGCTCCGTGCGCCTGTAGGGTTGCCAGATCTTCGGGAGTGCCAGGTGTGCGCAGAGAAGAACGCTTGTGGCTCTGCAGGCGTCACACGAATACAGCATCAACGCAAACAACAGTCTTGTGATGGAAATTTACACGTGTTGATTCCAACTTTTGTATAACTAAATTAAAGCTGGGGTATGTAATGATGAGACCACCTGTGTGTAGTTTTCAATTCAATTTCAATTCATCCTTCATTAAGAACACAGATAGAACTGGTTCATAGATTAAAAAACAAAAAAAACAAAAATAATAATAATAATAATAAAGAGACAAAAAACATATGTATACAGTCAAATTATAAACAGGTGTACAGACAGGACCTCCAATGCCTCCATAGGTCAGAGGAAAACCTTACAGAGCTCCTCCTTGGACAGACCAGAGCTTGGATGATCTGGTTTGACAGATTCACGGCTCTGCACATAAAAGAGTAAATACAATATCTGATGGAGACAACACATGACCTCGCACCACAATTTACAAACATTTCACTGGCGCTACAAAACCTGGGCACTTTCAACAGAATCCTCAGAGAGTCATTGTGAGCCACATTTAGACTCCGCATACTCTTTTTCTTATATCTACACCAGAGCTGTGCAGTATACAAGGGTGAGCAAAAAGCCTTGAAAAGATTAACTTTAACATCTCTAGAGCACATGTGAAACTTCCGAACGAGCATATTAGCCTGGCCATAGAGTTTACACTGCTGTCGATACATGTCTCTATCGTCAGAGAGGTCAGAGGTTATGTAGTGTCCAAGATACTTTACCTCCTCTGTGGGTTGGAGAATATCACCACATAGAAGGAAATCAGGGAACACTAATTTTTTATCCTCCTTTGTTTTTACAATCATGATTTGACTTTTAGAGGCATTACTTGATGTCATGCTCTATGCCATATCGGGAGCAGATATTTAACAGCTGCTGTAGACCTGCACTGTAAGGACACAACACTACAAGGTCATCTGCATACATTAAATGGTTACACAGGTGACTGCCAACCATGCATCCAGTTTTACACTGATTTAGCTGCAGAGACACGTCATCAATATAGACATTAAATAGAATTTTAAAACCTTCTTCTGTGCTACATGTGAGAAATAGCCTCAAAAACGGTTAGTTTGTATTGTGTTCAAGACGGCTTGGATGCCGAATCGTTCTGACACACACCCATGTCCTCAGAATGATGTCAGAAAGTGCAATATGGAACTGCAGTGTTCACTGTCACTTTACTGAGTCACTGTGTCCCATACCCTCATGCTGCTAACATGTACAGATGTATACAACTATACTTCTTGAACTAGAATATACAGTATTTGATTTTTTTCTTTATGTTATTTATTTTGCTTCTTTATTATGTTGAAGTTAGGGATGTACTATTTAACAATACATTTTGAGTTTTTGGTTGACATACTTGAATGCAAAAGCCAGACCCCATGAGACCTCTGCAGCTGTGTAGGGCAATGCCTTGTTAGTACTGTGATGGGAGACCTTTGGGAACACCAGGTGCCACAATGGGGTGGCTGCTGCTGCTGCTAAAGTGCCAAACTCTCGTTGTGACCAAGACACTTCACCAACATTGCTTAGAACAGGCACATACTGGTTGCCTCGCTTCTGTCAGTGTGCCCAAGGGCAGATATGGCTGCACTATACTGTGTGTAAAGTGAAACGATAATGAGATTACTATTATCAATATATTCTTGCTTCTTTATTATGCTAAAATTAGAGATATTATTTTATTTTGTGTAGAGTTGTTCTTCACTTATCTTATGCTTTGTGCACCTCATTGCTGCTATTCTGTTAAAAAAAAAAAAAAAATAGCGCATTATGAATTTGGCTATAGACTGTAGAACAACCAACTGATGAACATCACACGTGTCCTTTTCCTGCTCTTATTGTGGAAAGCGGATCCGTGCGTAAAACCCCTGTGCGTAAAAGTTTGGAGTGTGGATCAGCTGACGCATTTCCCGAAGTGATAGCCTCCTGCTCTCCGGGAAATGCTCACAGTCGCACCCGCGATCTGAACGCTGTCCCAGGGCCTCTCCACACCGGGAACCAGCCTCCCCCGGTCCCCCAGAGAACAGCCCCCCTCTCCCCACGGGACTGGCCTCTCCTTCGGGGGTCAGAGATTTAGGTGAGTTTCAACTTGTCCCATTGGATTTCCCCCATATGTATATTGACGTGTTGGTCTTTTCGACACACACAAAGGCTTCAAATACTACTTTTTTCTCTCGACACATGATTTCACAGCGGAGCGCGTTGGTAAAGTTATGTTTTGAAGTGAATCAGACCAGACTTTGTTCAGAAAAGTGTTTGAGAGATTTGCGCATTAATTGAGTTTTATAGAAACAGCGCGCGGTTCTTGTTAAACGCATATGACATGTGGTTAATAGACTTTGGTCCTGTTTAAAACTTTGTTAAATCAATAGAGACGGCAGCGTCAGGGGTTTTCCACGGTTAGAACTGAGTCATAAGCTGCGAGACATTTTGCCTATAGAGCAAAAAAGTAGTACATGTATCCCGAATACTGTTTTACTTTAAATTATTTTATTTGTATTTATTATAATTGAATTTTTATCAATATGTTTGAATAAATGAACAGGCAACGTTTTATTTTTTTTACCTTAAAAATATAATGTGAAAAAGTTTGTATTCCTGTGATTTTCAGAAAGTAACTGTAATCTTATTACTATAATAATAATAATAATGCATTGGTTTATGTAGCGCTTTTCTGGACACTCAAAGACCCTTCACATGTGTCATTATTCATTCTCTCCATACATAGTGGTGATAAACTACTGTAGCCTCAGCTGCCCTGGGGCACACTGACAGAAGCGAGGAAACCAATATGCGACAGCAGCCCCTCCGACCACCACCAGCCATTCACACACACACCAGACTCATTCTAGGCAATGGGGGTGAAGTGTCTTGCCAAGGACACAACGGCAGTTTGGCACTTTACAGCCACAGCCGCCCCACTGTGGCTGGTGTTCCCAGAGGTTAAGTGTCTTGCCCAATGACACAACAACAGCAGACAGAGGGAGTGAATGGTGAAGGTTGGACTCAAACCCATGACCCTTTGGCTCAAAGGCCATTGCTCTACCAACTGAGCTACTGTCGCCCCTCTAGATTCTACAGTAGTAACTGTAATGAATAAGAAAGAGTATTCAGAATACGTAATGGCGATACATGTATTCTGTTCCTCCCCAACACTGATTATTAATTCAATCAGAACAGATCATTCATTTACATCCCTTTTATTTAACTAAAATCTCATTACAGAACATTGAGAAAAGCCTATCATCATTTGGTTAAGCACTGTAATCAATCACTTTCCCCGATGCAATCAACGAGAACGGTCCTAAATAGAACTACAAAAGAAAGTCCAAAATGATGTCACTAGTTTCAGAAACAGTTTGCTTCAACACTGGTTTCTCATGCATGTATTTTTATTACATCTGTCACATCTTTAGATCAGCTTTTTCAGACAGAAAGGTGAAAAAGAGAGGTTTATGTTTTAGTTTAGAGCTAACTCAAACATATTCCATAAGTATTAGAGCTCACTCAATGCAATTCAACTCAATACATTTGTGTGTAGACCTAAATCACGTCTTAGAGGACTTTACAAACAGATCAGAGAATCATACAGTTTGAACACAGAAAATGCAATAATAACAAACATGTAGAAGCCATTGGTCCATACAGGGTCCAGAAATATGAATACATGTTCCGTATCATCACTGTCCTTAGATATTTGGCAAGGAACGGCTAAAAAAGGAAAGAAAAATGAAGAACATGAGAAACCTTGGGGAGACCCATATTGAGAGAGGGATCCATCCCAGAATAGACTGTAGATCCAGGACTGAGGCTGGATTCTGGCTCATTTGGGATTTTCGCTCAGAATGAAACCTCAGAATTCACAAGGAAACTGAACTTTAGGTCCTCCTCGTTTGGTCAGAACTGTTTCTCTGTCAAAGCAGCAGTGGCCTGGAACTCACTACCTCTGTCTGTGCGGGAGAGTAGCTCACTAGGACAGTTTAAACTCAGCCTAAAAAACTGGCTCAAAGAGAATCAAGTCTGTAGTCTTTAGTCAGATGTAAATAATTGTGTGTTGTATATTTTGTATATATTGTGTCTGTGTGATTAGAGGTGTTGTATTTTACCTGTATTTTACTAATCAGTCCATTCTTTCTATTTATCAATTCTTTGCACACTGTAAACTTGCTGTCACGTTGCCTCTGCCTCAGGGACTATGGAGGAAAATTAGTAGCTATGTCTGGTCTGAACAATACAATTATTGTGCAATGTCCATGTCAAATAAACGAATAAATAAAAATAAAACGGATGAATTGGTTTTGAAAAATTATTGATGATTGAAGAATAGATGGCGTTTTCTTTCTAACTTCTTCACATGTAGCTTATCAAGGTAGGGCAAATGTCTGTCTTCCTCAGAAGCTCCTGTATCACCTAAAAAAAAAGACACTGATACAGTATAGCAGCTTTATGACACTGAAAGATGCTTTACAAAGGAATAGGTTAATAAGAAACATAAATAACACACTAACAGTTGTGTTGGCAGTATATAGGTAGATTTGAGGAGTAATTTGAAGTTCTGAAGTGAGTCTGAGTTTCTGATGTGTTGTGGAAAAGAGCTTCAGAAAGTGTGGGCAGTTAAGGCACCGCTTGGTCGCCAAGGGTCCAGAAGACTTGGTCCTCAAGGTTTAGCATTGTCCATCATAACATCTATGGTCTGCACAGGTCCTGAAGATGGCGGCCGTCTCTCTCGCTCCAGTTCCGGCTCTGGAGGTGAAAGTTGGCGCTCTTTTCCTGCTCCTCACTCTCACTCTGGTATTTGGAATCCTGCCGCTGTTCTTGGTCCGTTGCACCCACAACACAGGTACGAGAACATCCTAAAGCTGGGGTACGTGACTTTCAGACCAGAACAATGTAAATCAGTGAAGAAACCAATGTTTCAGTCACTCAGTCATCTCCAGTTTTGGTCGTGATCCTGGTCTTTGTCTAGGTCTTGCTCCAGGTCATGCTCCAGGTCTTGGTCCAGGTCTTGGTTCAGGTCTTTGTCTTGTTCTTGGTCCAGGTCCTGGTCTTGGTCTTGGTCTTGGTCTTGGTCTTGGTCTTTGTCCAGGTCCAAGTCTAGTCCTGGACTTGGTCCTCTTCTTAAACCCGCCTGTATCCATTAGAGCAGTGCAGGACAGTCCTCAGTGTCACCAGATATTGGTCCTGGTCTTGTTCCTGGTCCTGCTCTTGGTCTGGCCCAGGTCCAGGTCTTATCCTGGTCCTGGTTCCCAGCCTTGTTCCTCTTCTGAAACCTGTTTGTGTCCCTCAGAGCGACGCAGAAGGGTCCTCAGTCTCACCAGTTGTTTTGCTGGAGGAGTATTCTTCGCCACGTGTCTCCTGGACCTGCTCCCGGACTATCTGGAGGGCATCAACAAGGCCTTCAGCAATGCTGGTATCACGGTGAGTCCTAATCCAGTCCTGGTCCAGACCAGAATTGCAGCTGCAGTTCATGGATTCTGGTTCAGTCCTGGTCTAACATTCTGGTTTAAGTCTATCTGTCTTTGTCCTGGTTTCGTCCTGGATTTAGTCCGGTTTTAATCTTGGTTCTGGTCTTACAGTCTGGTCCTGGTCTTGTGTCCACAGCTGCAGTTCCCGCTCCCAGAGTTCATCATAGCCATGGGATTCTTCATGGTCCTGATCCTGGAGCAAATCATGTTGTCCTTCAAACACAGCGCCTCCTTGTCTGGACCTGAGGAGCGCCGGTCTCTGCTGGACTCGGGGCAGGATTTGAGCCAGGACTCGGGCCATGGTCATGGTCATAGTCACGGTCACTCCCAATTGGATTTGTCCCCTCAGTCTGCTCTGCGCGCCTTCATCCTGGTCTTCTCCCTTTCTCTGCACTCAGTGTTTGAAGGCCTCGCTGTGGGACTAGTGGAGCAGGACAAAGAGGTGAGAGACCTCACATTACACCTGTGTTACAGACCTTACATTACACCTGTGTTACAGACCTCACATTACACCTGTGTTACAGACCTCACATTACACCTGTGTTACAGACCTCACATTACACCTGTGTTACAGACCTCACATTACACCTGTGTTACAGACCTCACATTACACCTGTGTTACAGACCTCACATTACACCTGTGTTACAGACCTCACATTACACCTGTGTTACAGACCTCACATTACACCTGTGTTACAGACCTCACATTACACCTGTGTTACAGACCTCACATTACACCTGTGTTACAGACCTCACATTACACCTGTGTTAAGGAGCACTCGCAAAAGCCGTTAGCTTAAACTCTCTAGCATCAAAGCTCGTCCACCACTTCCGGCCACGGTGGCTGAGTGGATAGCACTTTCGCATCTCAGCAAGGAGGTCCTGGGTTTGAATTGTTCAGCTCTAGTCCTGACCAAGCCAAGTCACAACACCTGGAGCTCCTGACAGAGGCCCTAGCAGCAATGAAGGATGGGTCAAATGCAGAGGACACATTTCTCTACGGGGACAATAAAGTTAAACTAACTAAAGACCTCACATTCCACCTGTGTTTCAGACTTCAAACTCTCTCCTCTCTCTTTTCAGTGTTCTTTGAGACGTGCAATATAATTAAATGTCATCCTCCTCAGGTGCTGGAGCTCTCGCTGGCGTTGCTGATCCACAAAAGCCTGATAGCGCTCAGCCTGTCGTCACGGCTACTGGAGGGTGGCGTGCGACGTGCACTGTGTGCGGGCTGCGTGCTGCTGTTTGCGGTGATGACGCCTCTCGGCATTGCAGTCGGTGTCGGGTTCACGGAGGAGACGCGTTCGTCGCCTCATCAACAGATGGTGCGCAGCTCTTTGGAGGGTGTCGCCACGGGAACCTTCTTCTACATCACCTTCATGGAGATCCTGCCACACGAGCTGCAGGGGGCGCCACAGCACAACATGCCCAAGGTCTGCATGCTGCTGCTTGGATTTGCACTCGTTACCGGCGTTCTATTCATCAAACTGTGAGAGGAGGAGGAGCTGAGGATGGGGAGGAGCTGAAGAGGAGGAGGCAGAGGAGGAACTAAGGAGGGAGAGGAAGAGTATCCATAGAGTGTTTCCGACAAGTGAATCTGACAAAACATTTCACCCAACTGCTGTATGGTATGAGCACAGGGTGTCAGCATTAATCACCAACAGTATATAACTATTTCAGAGCCGTTAGAATGAAATACAAGACTTTCTGTGACATGAACAATAATAATAATAATCAAGAACCTGAACTCCTCACATTGGACGACTCCTCGCTGTGCAATTGTGACGTTATAAAAGCAGTTTCACGCGTATACCACCAGAGGGTAATGTTGATCATTTTTGTCACACTACTATGAAATGCCAAAGTGAACATTCTGGATCATGTTTCAGGGACAAACAAATGTTTATAATGTAAGTTTTAGATAATATAAATATTATATGTTTTTAATGTAAATATTATCCATGATTGCCACATTACGTGTCTGGACCAAAAAGGGGAGGGGATTTTATTGAATGATGTTTTGAGACGTCTGTTTTTAACTGTTTTACTTTATCCCCTCTTAATTTATTTTGTTTTTATCACATTTCAATCCGTTTCAGTGACTGACCAGACATGTGCAGATCTTGTCATTGCATGTATTAAAACCTCAAATCTAAAACTAATTATGTGAATAAAACGAGAAATTGTATACAAATTATGCTAATGTTTTGAGCGGAGCCTGCCCTGCATGGCCTTTGATCGGATGTGGCCACAGTAGTACTTTACTTTACTTTACTAATAGTACTTATCTCAGTACTTCATTTTCAACAGTAAACTATTTTTCTGAGCTACCACCAGAGGCCACCAGAGGGCATTAATAGCCCTAGTCACAAAGATCGTCTCTGGAGCGGTGTCCCTCTGGGCAGTGGCCCCGTTTGAACCCGGCACGTCTCCATGGCAACGACATGCTATTAAAAAAAAGGTGTTTTTTTATGAGACAAATACACACGTCTTTCACATCTAGACTATGTGACGTAATTCTCCATTTATGAAGATTGAATGGATCACCCAAAGTACACACATACAGTTCTAAATTTGTATTTGTAAACAAAAACAAAACTGTCAGGAATTATATGAATGTTTTTTTTTTTTTTTTTATCAAATATCAATATATGTGTATAGTTCACAGTCCGGCAGCTGTATAGTGCCAAACTGTCGTGTCCAAAGACACGGTGTGCTCCAGGGCAGATGTGGCTAAAGCAGGAGTTTATCACCACTGTAAAAAAGCAGAGTATAAAACCAAGGCATCATTATTATTATTATATATTATCATATAGTCAGAATATGAGTTTTTTTTGTAACATAAAAAAGTAACAAGAAGTCACAAACACAAATGTTTATTTTGCTCATGGTGCAAAAAAGTTATAAAAATAAAACATAAAGGTATGCATAAACAATATTAATACAATGTATACTCTCGAGATGCTTTGCATACGACATTCCTTTTCCTCACCAACGCGAGGAGACAATCCCACTGGTTTATGGTTCTTGAAATGTCTTGCCTAAGGACGTAACAACAATTGACAGCCGCAGTCATCCCACTGTGGCAGTTGGTGTTCCCAGAGATCTCCCATCACAGTTTACCACAGTTTTTATCTGCTTAGCTTCAGAGATTTAGGTATTTGGCTTTCACACGTTTTATGAAATCAACGGATGACGAAAATTGTGAGCAACTGCTGCTTTAAACTATATTTGAAATTGAAAAATATTTGTTGAGTGAGAACAAAACCTACTCCCAGAAGTATAAAAATACCACAACTCCCAGAACCGTCATTTTGACTGCTCCCATTCAAATCAATGGAATTCTGAAAAGTTAGTACGTTCACCATCAGTTTTATTCAAATTTACCTTTATTCACTTTTAAAACTTGTGAATATATTGGTATAGGTGCACTTTTTATTAATCCCTGTACGGCAATTCAATCCTCTGCATTGAACCCATCCCGATGCTCGGCTTGGTCAGGACTACCAGAGCTGGAGGATTTAACCTACTGAGCATGTTTTTATTGGTAGTTTGCATGTTCTCCCTGTGCACCGGCACAGGGAGAACATGCAAACTCCACTCAGAAAGACCCTGTTCCGATTGGGATTCAAACCCAGGACCTTCTGGCTGAGAGGCGAGAGTGCTATCTACTCAGCCACCGTGCCGCCCCCCACTCAGAAAGACCCTGTTCCGATTGGGATTCAAACCCAGGACCTTCTGGCTGAGAGGCGACAGTGCTATCTACTCAGCCACCATGCCGCCCCAATAACTTAAAATACAGAAATAAGAACAGTTTGTTGAAAGGCTAATGCTAACTGTTAATAGTATGTTTCTAGGGTTACTTGCGCTTGTTCTACTCTGTTTAAAAAAATAAAAGATAATTTCATAAAATAATGACATAGCAATAAAGAAACAGAAAAAGTCCCCAAGTTATGAAGATCAAATATGTACATGGGTTGAGTACACTTCCAAAATTAAATCTGTCAAATTGACTGATTTCTAGCGTTAAGAACCGGATTGAACAGATCGTCCGAAACATTTACGTTTTTGTAACCTATATGTGCAGGTAATCATATTGGTGATGAGTTCCAATACTGTTTAGGTGCTTGAATAATGAAGTTGTTGCACACAGAGACAGATATCCTCCTCAGTATTATGTCCAATACCAATCAGTGCAAAACATGTTCACACTGATGCTAATTGAAAAGCCACGGAGTCATTTGTAGTCGTGCAATTTAGAAATAGGTCCTTTCTTTGTTCAAATGACATATGGCTTTGCTGCTTTGTTTTGTTTTTTCACTCCATGCTATTTACTGTATATAGTCCTGAGCAATAATGAAAGAAAGAAAAGACAGAACAGAACTCAGGCTGTCGGGAGCTATGATGGGAGACCATGGGAACACAAGGTGCCACAGTAGGGTAGCTGCGACTCCCAAGCTGTTGTTGTGTCCTTAGTCAAGACACTTCCCCTACATTCACTAGAATGAGTCTGATGGTTGGCGGTGGTTAGAGGGTCTGGTGGCGCAAATTGGTGGCCTCACTTTGGTCAGTGTGTTCCAGGGCAGCTGTGGCTACCGTAGTAGTTTGTCAATGCTGTTTGCGGAGTGAATGAATAATACTGTGAAGCGTCTTTAGAGGGTCCAGAAAGCACTGTAAAACCAATATAATAATAATGGAGTTGCCCTCCCCCCACGGGCCCAGAAATGTGATGACAATGGATGAATGGAGGAATAAATAATTATATAAAAGATAAATAAAACATTGTATATAATACAATTAATAAAGTACCAATTATTACTTACTTACTTATATATACATTACAAAAGTAAACATAATAAAATGAAATACCAAGGACCACACATAGAAAATAGAAGTTAATATTATAGATCCATAGTCTTAAGACAAGACTCCAGCGAGGAGCTGTGACGTAGAAAGAGAAGACTTCACGTTATTTCTGTATTCAGTTGTGTTATTATTGAAGTCATGTTTTTGTCAAAGTGATTCCTCTTGTCGCTCTCTCCGCTCTTTACGTTGCGTCACGTCGCGCCGCCTCCGCGTCGCTGCGCTTCTGTTCGCATCAGTTCGCTTCGATCGCTGCAGTCGGACATGTCGGGAGCAGGCTGCGGGCCCGGGCCTGGGGCCGCCGGGGGCCCCTCCACAGGGGCCTCCAACCCGCGAAAGTTTAGCGAGAAGATTGCGCTCCACACGCAGCGCCAGGCGGAAGAAACTGCGGCGTTTCAGGAGGTCATGATGGACATCAGCTCCACCAGGGTGAGTGCTCTGAGTGGAAGTGCTCCCGGACAATCTTAGCAGGCGGAGTGTAGTGACTGCAGCTGCACCCGGAGAACATCTCCAGGGTTAAAGCTGGGGTGCCTAATTTCAAGCTAATAAAAAAAACAACATGCCGTCTTTATCTTACTTTAAAATTGGTCATATTTCGCATAACAACAAGAAAGATCCCTGTGAGTCACTATTTGACTCATTGGGATCAGAGCAGAGCAGAGCTTATTGGTTGAGTGAGGGTGGACCTCTTTTTGTCACTTTTCTGTCTGAAAAATGTGACGGGCACTAGTGACATGGATTTTATTGTAGACTTCCAGTTTTGGTGATTGAAAGTTCCGTGTCTATTTTTCAAGTTTCTGGGTTTCCTCCAGTTTACCGAAACACCTAAAATCAAGACTCCAGTAGATTCTGACAGACTGTAAAGAATATTATTATTGTTAATATGAACTTCCAATGATGTTGAGGTGTTCTTTGCACTGGCTCAATAACATTTTTTTTTATAAGCGGACATTTAGATATTTCAGCTTTCAGTGGGAGAAATGTCAGAATTTCAGCAAGCAGTTCTAAAGATTACATGTACGATTTCACTGTAAAAATATGCATTTCAAATTTCTTAAATAAATATGTGAAGTACTTATTTTTGTAGCTTTGTACTGGGAAACACATGGACAAAATAGCTATACCGGGTTATTACTATATTACTATTGAGTACAGCCCATTCTCTGCTACGTACACGTCTTATTTGACTCAGTACAAGTGTGTAACTGCACACATTTAACTAATTGAATTATATTTGATTAAATTATTCACGAAAACATCCGATAAATGTCACTTTCATAAGCACGCTAGTCTGGGGGAGCATCTCTCGCCAAAACACCGGTGCAGTGGAGGCCTAGCCCGGGCTAAGCTAGCTTCTCCCTTGGCTGGGATATAAACAGTTTTGATAAATGTTTACAAACTTAAACGCACAGGCGTGATTTGGGGGGCCTCCGTGGAGCGCATTCACCCCGGGGAAGGAGCTTGTTTCCCGACTTGGTTCACTCTTTCATCTGCGGTGTTAGCCACAGTTAGCCGGTAGAGCTAGCTTGTTTACGTTAGCTAGCTGTCATCGTGTTAGCCCCGGGAGAGCACTTCAGTGCACCGCTATTGTGCTTTTATCACCGAAAACTATGAGAGTGCGCTAGAAAACATCACTTTGAATTAAATTAATTTTGATTTATGTGCTTCTAGAAACTTGAAAGTGTCGCGAAAGCAACAGTTGGTTCGTGTGACCGCCCACAGCTAACATGACACTGTGCTGTGCATCCATTGATAACAATTCCGCATTATATTTATCTACACGAATGGCAAGAATAACGACTATACAATTAGGATAATTATCAAGTAATCGCGCAAAGCACGTTGACAACCTGTAGTTAAACTCGTATAAAGGCTTTTCTCTTTTGTGAGTTTGTAAGGGCTGTTATTACTACTATACAGGACATGGATGAACATTGGGAGGAGGAAATCAGTGTCAGTTTGTATAGAACAATCTATCCATTTACTTCCGCTTAATCTGTTGCCGAGTCCCGGGGGTAGCAGTCCAAGCAGAGGCATCTAGACTTTCCTCTTCACACCCATCCAAAGCATACCCATTGCACGCTGAGAAACATTGTAGTTGTGCGGCAGTAGCTCTATTGGTAGAGTTTGTGTCATTGGTAGAGTTTGTGTCATCTGAATGGAGTTTGAATCCTGCTCCTGACAAAAATATTGATTGGTCAGATCGACTGACCCACAGGTTGGCAGAAATCGTCTCCAATGGGTGAATTGTGCTCTATGTCCTTGGGCAAGACACTTTACCCGTCCAGTGGTGTCTGTGTACACTGGTGCAAGAACGTGTGTGAGAATGAGTGATTGGATCCTTCATGTGAAGCGCTTTTAGTGCCTCAAAAAAGTAGAAAATTGCTCTATAAATGTGACCATTTATGTATAGTCTGTCTAGTGTGTCCTGGGTCTTCCTCTTCTCCTTATGTCCTCCCAGTGGGAAATGTTCCAAACTCTTCCCGAAGGAGACGTCCACTAGGCATCCCAAACAGATGCCTGAGCCAACCTCAACCAACCCTAACCCTCCTTTCAGTCATTACCCAAAGCCTATGACCAGAGGTGAGGGAGGGAATGTAGAATAAGCAGTAAATTGAGAACCATATATATTTTGTTGTTGTTGTTGAAAGATGCGCTGGGTAGCTGCTGCAAGTCCTTAGTAGCTCTGAGTAACAGTTGTTGTTTTGTGCTTTACAATTTTTATTTTTATTGCTTTTTTCTGCCTGAGATGTTTCTTCAGTACAGTGTGCAACGTTTTACACTGGTCCAGACCGGAGCGGAGAGGATTCATGGTCCAAACCAAGTGGATCAGGTGAAAAGGAATGGACTGGAGGAATGCTAATGAAGCATTTAGCATTTTACTTTGGACTAGAGCAGAGAAAATGGTCCAAACCAAGCGGCTACTCCACCTTTTGACCCGTCCTGCTCCACCCAGAGACTACTCCACCTCTGCTGCTGCGACCTGTCCTGCTCCACCCAGATGCTACTCCACCTCTGCTGCTGTGACCTGTCCTGCTCCACCCAGATGCTACTCCACCTCTGCTGCTGTGACCTGTCCTGCTCCACCCAGATGCTACTCCACCTCTGCTGCTGTGACCTGTCCTGCTCCACCCAGAGGCTACTCCACCTCTGCTTCTGTGACCCATCCTGCTCCACCCAGATGCTACTCCACCTCTGCTGCTGTGACCTGTCCTGCTCCACCCAGAGGCTACTCCACCTCTACTGCTGTGACCTGAAGGGCTGTGGCTGATTTTTACTATTGTTATCTTTTTTTAGAATGATCAATTTTCTTTTTTCTTTTTGCTACTTATGGACACCTGAATTTAGTAAGTAAGTAAGTAAGTAAGTTTTTATTTATATACCGCCTTTTCACTGCAGATCTGAGTCTCAAAGCGGTTTACAATTGTTAATTTTGGGCATTTGTCTCTCACTCCACACAGAGATGGGAGCGGGGCCAGTACAGGAGGCGCATGCCAGACCTATTGGACATATTTTTAGTGGTAGGGGAAACCGGAGTACCCGGAGGAAACCTACGCAGACACGGGGAGAACATGCAAACTCCACTCAGAAAGGCCCTGGTCCGACCGGGATTCGAACCCAGGACCTTCTTGCTGAGAGGCGAGAGTGCTAACCACTCAGCCACCGTGCCGCCTCCTTCAGGGCTCAATAAAGTATCTATCTATTCATCCATCCATCCATCACACTCCAGACGCGCTTCTCCCTTTTTACCACAACAGTTCGATACAGCAACGAGTTTTATATACCATTATATATGCCTTATTGACATTATGTGTAGCAGTAAGTATATTGCTGAAAAATACTAAATTATACACTACCTGGTAGTCGGGGCGACAGTAGCTCAGTTGGTAGAGCACTGGCCTTTGAGCCTGAAGGTCGTGGGTTCAAGCCCACCACGGGACCTTCTCCACCGACTCCCACTGATGACTGCTGTCGTTGTGTCCTTGGGCAAGACACTTAACCCTGCATTGCCTGAAGCCCCCGCTGAAAAATCAAGGCCGTATTGTCACTGACAGAGCAGCCGTCCTCCTGTGGACTCACCACCTGCAGGAGGATCAGTGAGGGGCTGGTGCTCAGTGAATTGGGTGCAGCTCTGACTGCCACCCCCCCGACCCAGAAATGGATTAAGGGGAAGAAGATGGATGGATGGATGGACACTACCTGGTTGCGTTTCTATTAAGCTGGTATCATATCCTAGCAACCGACCATTTCTTGGTAACCATTGCACCCAGAAGCGCTCTGTCCAATCACCGTCAGAACACTTTTGTATCATTCAATGTAATGTATAAATAATTTATTTATATTTGCATTATCTGGACGTTACTATAGTTAAGGGACTCCCACATATTTGCTTTGTTCTCCCACTGTTTACATTTTATAGGTTCATGTTGTAAATTGTATTACAGTATTTCAGCTCGTGCCAATACAAGATACCAGAGAGTGAGATACCAGAGAGTGAGAGACCAGAGAGTGAGAGACCAGAGAGTGAGAGACCAGAGAGTGAGAGACCAGAGAGTGAGAGACCAGAGAGTGAGAGACCAGAGAGTGAGAGACCAGAGAGTGAGAGACCAGAGAGTGAGAGACCAGAGAGTGAGAGACCAGAGAGTGAGAGACCAGAGAGTGAGAGACCAGAGAGTGAGAGACCAGAGAGTGAGAGACCAGAGAGTGAGAGACCAGAGAGTGAGAGACCAGAGAGTGAGAGACCAGAGAGTGAGAGACCAGAGAGTGAGAGACCAGAGAGTGAGAGACCAGAGAGTGAGAGACCAGAGAGTGAGAGACCAGAGAGTGAGAGACCAGAGAGTGAGAGACCAGAGAGTGAGAGACCAGAGAGTGAGAGACCAGAGAGTGAGAGACCAGAGAGTGAGAGACCAGAGAGTGAGAGACCAGAGAGTGAGAGACCAGAGAGTGAGAGACCAGAGAGTGAGAGACCAGAGAGTGAGAGACCAGAGAGTGAGAGACCAGAGAGTGAGAGACCAGAGAGTGAGAGACCAGAGAGTGAGAGACCAGAGAGTGAGAGACCAGAGAGTGAGAGACCAGAGAGTGAGAGACCAGAGAGTGAGAGACCAGAGAGTGAGGGACCAGAGAGTGAGGGACCAGAGAGTGAGGGACCAGAGAGTGAGAGACCAGAGAGTGAGAGACCAGAGAGTGAGAGACCAGAGAGTGAGAGACCAGAGAGTGAGAGACCAGAGAGTGAGAGACCAGAGAGTGAGAGACCAGAGAGTGAGAGACCAGAGAGTGAGAGACCAGAGAGTGAGAGACCAGAGAGTGAGAGACCAGAGAGTGAGAGACCAGAGAGTGAGAGACCAGAGAGTGAGAGACCAGAGAGTGAGAGACCAGAGAGTGAGAGACCAGAGAGTGAGAGACCAGAGAGTGAGAGACCAGAGAGTGAGAGACCAGAGGGTGAGAGGCCAGAGACCCTGTGCTGACAAAGAAGATGTGGAGCTTTGTGACAGTATTTGTTTCATGCGGATTTATTACAGATAAAGTATCTCTAAACGCAGACTAGAATCTCTCTTCTGGCAGTTACCATAGTGACCAGGACAGATGTATCAGCTGTGCTCCACCACAAAGTGAAACAGGAAGACTGACTATTTGAAACATTTAAAAAGTCAATATGATATAGTTAAATGCAAGTTAAGGTGCTCCATTGTTCCCGTGAGGAAATGTGCATTTGACCCGTCGTGCCCTGGACCTCGGTCAGGAGCAGTGGCCTCGGGACCCCACTCCAGATGTTTGAAGCCTGGGTTAGAAAAATATGTTTCTGTTCCTGAAAAAGAAAAAGTATTTTAAACTTTGCACAGTTTCTTTACCACTGACTTTTATGTTTACATCTGCTTTAATTGTCTTGGCTCAGACCTGGTACAGTCTCTGCATTAGTCCTGCTTCAGACCTGGTTCAGACCTGGTTCAATCCTGGTTCAGACCTGGTTCAGTCTTGGTTCAGACCTGATTCAAACCTTGTGCAGTCTTGATTCAGTCCTGGTTCAGACCTGGCTCAGTCCTCGTACAGTCTTGGTTTAGACATGGTACAGTCTGCTTTAGTCCTCCTTTCGTCCTGCTTCAGTCCTTGTTCAGTCCTTGTTCAGAGTAGACCTTGTTCAGACTGGATTCAGATCTTGTTCAGACCTGCTTCAGACCTGGTTCAGTCCTGGTTCAGTTCTTGTTCAGTCCTTGTTCAGTCCTTGTTCAGACCGGATTCAGATCTTGTTCAGACCTGATTCAGACCTGATTCAGTCCTGGTTCAGACCTGGCTCAGTACTTTGTTCAGACCTTGTTCAGACCTGATTCAGACCTTGTTCAGACCTGGTTCAGACCTGGTTCAGACCTGGTTCAGCCCTGGTTCAGCCCTGGTTCAGCCCTGGTTCAGCCCTGGTTCAGCCCTGGTTCAGCCCTGGTTCAGCCCTGGTTCAGCCCTGGTTCAGTCCTGGCTCAGCCCTGGTTCAGACTCGACTCAGACTCGGCTCAGACTCAGCACAGAAGCTCTCAGTGGAATGAGATCTGTTTAATTTAGATAATGAAGGCGTAACGTTAACCTCACAATCAGCCAAAATAGTCAAATATTGACTCACAGGGATCTTTCTTACACAAGATTTTTTTTCAAATGAGATTTAGACAGCAGGGAGTGGTCTGATTTGTTCACAATAATTTACGTTTAATAGACTCTTTCTGTTTGTGTCATTTATGAGACTGTTACAAACCCGGCTTTAAAGCATCACTTACATGGAAACGAATGACTGTAATTTGCTTTTTTGGGCCTCAATATCTACTTTTTTCTGTACAAAAGAGGAGACCTGTTAGCTATTTTCTGTATGAGGTTTAACTGTGGTCCTGTGGATGGTTCAAATTGACGTAATGACCTTATGTTTATGTCCATAATTCTATTCTTTTTCATTAAATGGGCACAAGAAAAAAACACACTGTATTTGCATCAGTGCCATAATTAAGTAGTATAAATAAGCAGTTTCCTCCTCTCATTTTTTGCAATAATTATCTGAATTCATGTATCACCAATCAAAATTAAATCCAATGCTTTGATATATGAGGTCAATCACCCGTGTGTGTGTGTGTGTGTGTGTGTGTGTGTGTGTGTGTGTGTGTGTGTGTGTGTGTGTGTGTGTGAGTGTGTTTGTACGTGCGTGCACCTGGGGTCTCTCCTGCTTTCTGTTGTCAGTAAACCTCATTACTCTCTTCTGTCTGTGTTAAATGTAGATAATTTTTGTTAAGTTCATAATTGTAGGTTTTGGATTAATTTATATTTAGATTCTATATTTAGAATCTTCACAAAATGAAAATAAATGCATTAATGGTTTTGTAAATATGTGGTGGAATGTTCGATAAGGGACAATAGACTTATCTATTATTAATAGACTTAATAGACTATTTACCTGAATCGTTTCGACTCCACTTCAGGAACGAGACACGGACGAGGAACATGTCAAACAACAACAAAGAGCTCACATTGGAAAAACAAACCTGTCTGTTCAACTGCTTTAATAATAATAATAACAATCATAATAATAATCCCTCTCTCTGTGTGTGTGACAGCTCCAGGCTCAGAAGCTGCGTTTGGCCCGAAACCAGGGTCCGTACTATGGAGGCTCTCTGCCCAACGTTAACCAGATCGGGAGGAACCCCCAGGAGTACCAGGTGAGTCCAGTAACCCCCATGCATACTAGGTGAGTTCAGGAACCCCCATGCATACTAGGTGAGTTCAGGAACCCCCATGACTACTAGGTTAGTCTAGGAACCCCAGGACTACCACGACCCACAAGTTCCAAGTGCATGTTGTGTCTCGGCGCTCGTGCTCTCACTCTGAGTTCTTGCTAATGTCTTTCTGTGTCTCAGGGCTCGTTCTCGTCGGCGCTGGACTCTAGTCGCTCCACACGACATCACGGTTTAGTGGAGAGAGTCCAGAGAGAGCGGCGCTTCATGTCCCCAGTGCGGCCGTACCGCAACAGGCCTGTATCTTTCACAATAAGAGTCTCACACTGCTATTACTGTACTACAGACCTGTGTCTTTCACAATAAGAGTCTCACACTGCTATTACTGTACTACAGACCTGTGTCTTTCACAATAAGAGTCTCACACTGCTATTACTGTACTACAGACCTGTGTCTTTCACAATAAGAGTCTCACACTGCTATTACTGTACTACAGACCTGTGTCTTTCACAATAAGAGTCTCACACTGCTATTACTGTACTACAGACCTGTGTCTTTCACAATACAAGTCTCACACTGTTACAGCACCGACCTGTGTCTTTCACTTACAGTGTGACTTCAGCAAAAACTATGGCCTGTTTCCTGTAGGTTTTTACTTGAATGCTGTTAATTCGTTATCTGCGTTTGTCATCTTTAAAATGGAGCACTGAGGCTGTAGAAACACACAAACCTCAGACAGAACTACACAGAGTTGTGCGTACGTTATAGACCTACAGTGTGTGCTTGTACTCTACACCGGGCATGTCCAAACTGACGCCTGTGGCCCACATGCGACCCGCCGTGTCATTGCATGTGGCCCACTGCCTCGCTAACCCGAAAGTAGCAAGTGTGGTGAAGCAAGTGATCCAGTGATTCAGAACCAATGATATTTGTGTATACTGACATTTGTTATTGATCGCGTCTCAAATGTCCATATATGGCACTAATGTCGCTCTGGTGTTAATCAAATATGGACATAATATCAAACACCATTTTAAAGCCAAGAACATACCAAATCCAGTTCTAACAGTTTTAAAATGCCCCTAGACAAGTGTCTTCCAGCCTCTTACTGAAACGTTTTGGCACCCCTGCTCCGCACAGACAGAGAAGACAAAAGTGAAGGCCGCTGCTGTGGACAGAGTGTCTTGTATTCTTATCTGTTCTGCAACACTGAGCCAAGGCCACAGAGGAGACGACTCCAGCTTTTGTCACAGAGTGTGTGGCATCATCCACTTTAGACAAGCATTCTGTCCGACAGAAAGAGTCTTGTAAAAGTAAAATGTTGTGAACAAATCAGAACACAACACGCTATCTTCATCTCAGTCTAAAAAAAATGTCATCTTTTTTGTTTTTCACTTTTCTGTCTGATGAAGCTGATATAAGTTGTGGCAAAGGCTAAAAATACATATGTGAAAACTAGTGATAGAAGAAAATAGTTGCTGAGCCATGAACTAGAGACATGGGTTTGATTAGAATTCCAGTGTTGTGGTTAAAGTGTTAAAGTGTATTTATTTATTTGAATGGTACAGTGCATGTCAATGAACAGATTTAATAGAATCATGAATGTCACTATGCCAGATTATAGACAAAGGTTCATTTCTGTCTGTAGTCCCATGGGGTTAGGGTCACATGGGTTACATACAGAAAAGCAAACGAATAAACATACATTACAGCACAGGCCACAGTCCACACATTCACAATCCACTCAGGGGCCACAATGTTACAGTCCACATCATTCCACACACCCCGTTATTGCTCACATCAAGTTATCAATCAATCACATTTATTTATGAAGTGGTTTTCATACAGAATCTGCAACACAGAGTGCTTTACAGTTTGGTTAAAAACAATCCCACATGCCCATGGCTCTGTTAGTCCGTGAAGTAGAAGTTCTATATTTAGTGTGGTCCTTCAGGGGAGCAAAGGCTAACCCATTTACACTTTTATAGATGAGCATTTTTTGATTGTATAAAGTTTTCAAAGCCCAAAGCTTTGTTGTAAGGATACCACAATGATGATAACCCCTCAATTGGCTCTCGGATGGTTACACCAAGATGGTTAGTGGCTCACATTGGAGTTCACATGAAGCTCTCGTTAGCTGCCCGTGTTTCTACTCTGGTGGGTTTTCTCCTTGACCGTTGTTCTCAGGTGGACAACTCTCCGTACAACGCCTCGTACCTGTCGCCGCCCCCGGACCCCAGCTGGAGGAGGTAAGACTCGGGTCCCTCAGGTTCCTCAGCTCCTCCACCGCTGCAGCTGCACACACTCTGCTAAAGCACTGTGAACCTTTGAACCAAACCTCCTTTCACCACGTTCCAGTCACACCAGGTCCTTCAGGTCCGAGTGTAACGTCTTGTAAAGCGAAAGGTCTTTCCATAGAAATCATGTTTGTTTTAATGGTCTTTCACGCGAGATCACCTCCGCTTGTCCAGAACATATGGTATACACAACAAAATGCGGCGCACAGGTTTGACACTGATTCTGGACTTTTTCTATTTTTTCCTGTCATAAAGCCTGGTGTCTGACCAAAGCAGCGCACAGACGGCAAAGACTAACCCATACATCTGTCTATTGCTGCTATTTAGTAGTTCTGGGCTGTTCTGGGCTCTACACTCACACAGAGACGGTGGCAGACACGCCTTCGTGGTGTGTAAAGGACGTAACTCCTGCCAAGTTCCTTCAGGTCCTTGTGTCACAACTGGAGCGTGGATGCAGTAGTCTCTGATCTTTTCTCTCTCTCTCTGCTCAAACCTCCTGAAGCCTCCAGTCCTGGTCTGAGGCGTTGCGTTCTCTTCTCACTAACTTCTTCAAACTTCGGCTTCAGTTTTTCCACTTTTCTGTGCAATTAAACGGAGAGGCACCACTGGTCTTCACCTGAGAAACTTCAACAAGCATTTTCCCAACATTATCCCTCAGTCTCAGAGGCGGAATTGTGCTTAAAACCATCCACGCCTTCTGTCTAAACATGTCTCAGTTCTGTAATAGTGTGATGTAATTTCACCACTATGGCATCATAGTCCCAGAGCAGTGTTCTACCTTTTTAAAGCAAAACTATTGCCCATAAACTACATTTGGTGATTTCTCAGGTGAATTGGGATTCTTTACAATCACATATCACATGCCCTCCCTCTGGTGGCAGCACAGGGAGTTACAGGCTGATAGCATGCTACATTATCTATAATATCTGTTGTTTGTCAACAATACATTACATATCATGTCTGATCAAAAGTGCTGTTTATGATTTGTTTGTGGTCATTTTTGTTGAGTTAATCTATACATTTGGAAGGTTTTCGAACAAATATTAACTTTTAATGAATGTTGCTGAAACAGAACTTGAGAGGATGGGTACTACTCACTGATGAAAACTGCTAGAAAAAAAGCCATATCGCTCATCCTTAACTTATTCACATCAGCCGGACATGACCTTAACCAGATTGTCAATCTTATTGTAACAAAATGCAGATATTGAGCATATATATTTGGAAAAAATACCAAGATTTTAGTGAGTCCCATTGAACTTGCCTTGGGCATATTAAACTTTAGAGTAAAACACATGATGTGTTGTTTGTATCATCTTTAAAATGAGGTATAGCATGCCATGGTTAATTTGATAAGGACCCAACAAAACCCTGCTCACCTTTGCACATGACCCTTTGGTCTAAGATAAGGATGAAAGAACATGTCAGACTGTGGATGGAGCTCCCTCTGCTGATGGAAGCATGAAATGACAGCTCAGAGATGTCGTCACACTTTGATGAAACCGGAAATCTCTTTTCTGCCGCGGTTTTTGCAAATGCGCGTTTTACTAGTCTCTCGCTGGTCCCGCTCTGGTCTCTTTCTACTCTCTGGACTCTCTCTCTGGTCTCTCCCTCTGGTCTCTCTCTCTTGTTCTTGATTTCTAGTCTTTCTCTTCGGTCTCTCTCTGGTCTACCTCCGGTCTCTGGTCTCTCTCTCTGGTCTCTTTCACAGGTCTCTCTTGTTGCTCTCCGGTCTCTTGTACCTCTCTGGTCTCTCTCTCTGGTCCTCAGAGCTGGTAAAGATGGTGGTCCTCTCTTTCTCTGTAACCGTGCGTTCCTCCAGAGCTGGTAAAGCCGGCGGTCCTCTCCTCTCCTCCGCTTGCTCACGCGCTTCTGCCCTCTCTGCCGCCTCTCCCTCGGGCCTCTCTACTCCCCCTGCTGGTGCTCAGAGGTTTAACGTGTTATTCTTTGGCCCATTGAAAAGGAACTGGTGTGGAAACTTCGCGGGGGACAAAAGCCAGTTGTTCCGTCTGCCCACAACAGCACTGAACAGGTGAATGTCTCCTCTCTCAAACTGGGACCTGTCTCCTCTCATTTCCTCATTTCTTCTTTAACGTTCCTTTTCCGTCCTTGTTTTTATAACTCCGGTTTCCAATCAGGGTGGTCTGAATCAACTTCGATTGGATCTTACTGAGTGTAGGCTGACCCAGTGAGGAGCCCTGTGCATGCAGCCGATACTGAATAATCAATACAAACAGAACAATTCCAGTCTTTTTAGAGCTTGGATGATATCAGGCCAGTTCTGTATGTTTTTGAATGTTGTAAGAGTATATTGGTGGCCTCCAGGGGGCGCTGTCAGGCTGCAGAGATAGAAGCAGTGTATGACGCTGTTATCGTTGCTTTCGCTTCAGGACGAACTCGGACTCCGCTCTTCACACCAGCGTCATGAACCCACCTGCAGCAGACCCCTTCACTACTGGGGGGCACACTCTGACCCCCCAGAACAACCGGAGGACTGGTGAGGACCAGGACTGAGACCAGGACCAGGCCTGAGGCTGTAGATCCAGGACTGAGGCTGTAGATCCAAGACTGAGGCTGTAGATCCAGGACTGAGGCTGTAGATCCAAGACTGAGGCTGTAGATCCAGGACTGAGGTCGTAGAACCGGGACTGAGGCTGTAGACCCAGGACTGAAGCGTTAGATTCAGGGAGCTGCAGATCCGGGACTGAGGCTGTAGATCCAGGACTGAAGCTGAAGCTGCAGATCCAGGACTGAGGCTGTAGATCCAGGACTGAAGCTGCAGATCCAGGACTGAGGCTGTAGATCCAGGACTGAGGCTGTAGATCCAGGACTGAAGCTGCAGATCCAGGACTGAGGCTGTAGATCCAGGACTGAAGCTGCAGATCCAGGACTGAGGCTGTAGATCCAGGACTGAAGCTGCAGATCCAGGACTGAAGCTGCAGATCCAGGACTGAAGCTGCAGATCCAGGACTGAAGCTGCAGATCCAGGACTGAGGCTGTAGATCCAGGACTGAGGCTGTAGATCCAGGACTGAAGCTGTAGATCCAGGACTGAAGCTGCAGATCCAGGACTGAGGCTGTAGATCCAGTACTGAAGCTGAAGCTGCAGATCCAGGACTGAAGCTGAAGCTGCAGATCCAGGACTGAGGCTGTAGATCCAGGACTGAGGCTGTAGATCCAGGACTGAGGCTGTAGATCCAGGACTGAGGCTGTAGCTCCAGGACTGAGGCTGTAGATCCAGGACTGAGGCTGTAGACCCAGGACTGAGGCTGTAGACCCAGGACTGAGGCTGTAGATCCTGGACTGAGGCTGTAGATGAGTCCAGTCTGTGATTTTGTCCTATTTCTGGTTCCAGGTCAGAACGATGTGGAAAGAGCCAGAAGTGAGTTTCCTCTAAAAACTCCTGGTCGTAAAATGTGCTATGTAAATAAAGTAAACTAGGTAAAATATTAGTGAGTTTGAGCATGTGCCTTTTGTCCCTCAGTGTTCCCGTACCCTGTTCCCCCGATCGAAGAGAACGTGCTGAATGACGGGAAACTACTGAAGCCCTGGGACAACAAGAAGGTGAGACACACACATCCAGACACACATATATATACACATACATCTATGCTTTCATATATATATATGTTCACACCAGTGACGTGCGGTGAGGATTGTGATAGGGGCGGCACTGACTTTAAAACTCAGATTTACCATCATTTTTAAAATAAGAAAGCATTTAATCACCAATGCAATAACATCCACAAACTTCCTATACTGTAAAGATAAGAGAACTAGCGTCTTTTAAAAATCTCACAACAAATCTAGTCGCTGACTCTCTGCTCCGCATCAAACAACATCTTTAAGCGCAGGTGCGAGAGACGGGAGGAGAGAAAGAGACAGAGACGGGAAGAGAGAGAGACAGAGACGTGAGGAGAGAGAGAAAGAGACAGAGACGTGAGGAGAGAAAGAGACAGAGACGGGGAGAGAGACAGAGACGGGGGGAGAGAGATAGAGAGACAGAGACGTGAGGAGAGAGAGAGAGAGACAGACGGGAAGAGAGAGAGAGAGAGAGACGCGAGGAGCCAAAGAGACAGAGACTGGGAGAGAGAGAGAGAGAGACGGGGAGAGAGAGAGAGACGGAGAGAGAGAGAGAGACAGAGACGCGAGGAGAGAGAGAGACAGAGACAGGAAGAGAGAGACAGAGACGCGAGGAGCCAAAGAGACAGAGACTGGGAGAGAGAGAGAGAGAGAGACGGGGAGAGAGAGAGAGAGAGAGACGGAGAGAGAGAGAGAGACAGAGACGCGAGGAGTCAAAGAGACAGAGACTGGGAGAGAGAGAGAGAGAGAGACGGGGAGAGAGAGAGAGAGAGAGACGGGGAGAGAGAGAGAGACAGAGACGCGAGGAGAGAGAGAGACAGAGACAGGAAGAGAGAGAGACAGAGACGCGAGGAGCCAAAGAGACAGAGACTGGGAGAGAGAGAGAGAGAGAGACAGAGAGAGACAGAGACGCGAGGAGCCAAAGAGACAGAGCCAAAAAGAAGAGAGAGACAGAGACGGAAGGAGAGGGAGAGACGGAGAGAGAGAGAGACAGAGACGGAAGGAGAGGGAGAGACGGAGAGAGAGAGAGACAGAGACGCGAGGAGCCAAAGAGACAGAGACGCGAAGAGAGAGAGAGACAGAGACGGAAGGAGAGAGAGAAAGAGTTGCAGAACTGTTGAGCAGTGGTTGAATCAGTGTTTTTTGGAGAAGCACTATTATGCAGCTATCTAGTCAATTTTCAACATTAAACACAGAGACTGAGGCCCCGTCCCAATACTCGCACTTCCACCCTCGCGCCCCTCATTTGCGCGTTCCCGATAAAGGGTGCGAGTGCGTAGGGCGTCCCAATTCTCCAGGGAGGTCTTTGGCCCCGCCCCCTTTGCGCCCCTGATCCACACTTCGCCGTAGCCTACATCTATGCGCACTCTGGCGAAGGATATTGCCCATAATTCTTTGCGGTACACACCAAAACGTCGGGAAAATGCATTTAAATATAAATGTTGAAATATATATGCAGTATGTGTGTAAATACGTTTTGCTATGTTACTTGGAAAGAAGCATAAACGTCTGATGAAGAATTACGGACATTGTGTTTTAACAATTTAATACTTTTTAAAGCAAGCGTTTATATAACATTCAATTTAAACTTTACACTTAGTACAATAATCTTAGAATGTATAAAAACTGACCAGATAGTTAGTTACCCACATTTAACTTAAAATTACACCGCTATCTCTAATTAAAAACAACTAATATACATGTATTTTAACGTGTGTGAAGCAATTCATTTTGTTTCCCAAAGGGTCAGACAAAGTTACCTTTTAATGTTTATAAAGTTTAGGTCTGAAAATGACCATCTCTTGACGAGTCGATGACGTAACCTGCACTCAGTGTGCACTGTCCCAATTCTGCCTTTTTTGCACACTTGTAACCTGCGCACTCAAACCCTGGTGTGCACTTCGAACAAATGCACACTTCGTAGAGGTGTGTAGGGTGCAGTGTGGGTATTGGGACTGGGCCTGAGACTCCTCCCCCGCGGCCGGACTAACCTTGTAAGTCCAGCAGTGGTCTCTCAGTCTATATTATTTCTTGCTTTGATTGAAAGTCCATTTGAGAAAAACAACTTCAATCAAATCATCCATTTTGCAGCTAAAGAAATAGCATATTGGGCTGATTATTTGTTAGCAACTCGGATATGAACTTTATGCTCACTATCACCCCTAGTGGTGAGGCACAGACACTGCCTGCCTCACACCAAGCTTTTCCATTGTGTATTCTTCTCCAATCAAAAGACTTAAACTAAATAAAAATAATACACACATACGTGCAATACATTACTAAACACCATGAGGAGTTAGACAAAGTTATCAAAGCAGGATATTATAAACAAACAGCGATATATCAACAGCACGAGCTGAGTGCACTCACACAGTCCACAGTGTGGGAGCGGTCTGGGGGGAGGCACGTATGAGCGCTGCCTCACCTTCGGTCTTTGAATATGTAACGCTAGCAGGCTAGGGCGCTGACTGCAATGTGTAACTCAGAACTAGATCCGGCCACGGAGCAAAGTGTGTGACAAAAAAACACCAAGATCACGTTTTAGAGCTCTATAAATCAACTTGTATTATAATTCTAATATGTTAACCAGGTATGAATTATAGGATGTATATTACATTATATTAGACAATAAGACATGAACAAAAAACGCAAGACAAACAAAAAACAATTCTCGAAAAGGGAATGACTCAAGGTTCTCAGAGTTCAGTTTGAAAAAAAGTTCAGAGTCCAGGGCTTGGAGAAAGAAAAAAAATGAAGGTAGGAGGGCAGTGGTTGGGTAGCTCGCCATCCAATGGTCAAAAAAAAGAATAGTAATCCAAACGGGTAGGGGGGATAAAAAAAACCTGACCTAAACAAGGCCAGACAAAATATTCAATTAGTCAAAGAGGAAAAAAAAATAGATAACTAAAAAAAGTAGCTTGATTTACAGAAATAAAATACATGCTTCTAAATGCAAGCAGATAAATATATTCTTAAGGTCATGAGAATATATTTACGATGGCTGAGTGGATAGCACTCTCGCCTCTCAGCAAGAAGGTCCTGGGTTCGAATCCCGGTCGGACCAGGGCCTTTCTGAGTGGAGTTTGCATGTTCTCCCCGTGTCTGCGTAGGTTTCCTCCGGGTACTCCGGTTTCCCCTACCACTAAAAATATGTCCAATAGTTCTAGCATGTGCCTCCTGTACTGGCCCCTCCCATCTCTGTGTGGAGTGAGAGACAAATGCCCAAAAAAAAAAAAAAAAATGCATCGGTTTTATATAGCGCTTTTTTGGACACTCAAAGACGCTTCACATGTCATTATTCATTCACTCCAAACACGGTGGTGATAAACTACTAATGTAGCCACAGCTGCCCTGGGGCACACTGACAGAAGCGAGGCAACCAGTATGTGCCATCGGCCCCTCCGACCACCACCAACCATTCACACACACACCAGACTCATTCTAGGCAAGGGGGGTGAAGTGTCTTGCCTAAGGACACAACGGCAGTTTGGCACTTTACAGCCGCAGCCGCCCCACTGCGGCTGTAAAGCGGTTTACAATTGTAAACCGCTTTGAGACTCAGATCTGCAGTGAAAAAGACGGTATATAAATAAAGATTACTTACTTACTTACTTACTTACTTACTTACTTACTACTTACTTACATAATAATCATAAATCAAAGTGAAGCTTCAGTATCAAATAAAGTGCACTTAAAAAGTCAAAAAATCACTAGCATATCCGCTAGTGTTATTAATCAAAAAACTGTACAATTATTATCAAGGTTCACGTTTAGAACATTATTCAAAAGGAAAAAAGTTCTTCCAAAAGAAATCCAATTCAAAAATACAGAGCCGCCTGGGCGCTCGTCTCAAAAAAAGTAAACAGAAATAGGCATAAAAAGCCAATACAACTAAAGTGTCGCTCCCTGCAGAGGTAACGCAGTCTACCGCATAGTTCGGGTTGAGTGAAAAGGTGAATTTAGCAGATGTCAAATAAATAAATGCTCCGTTAGCATTAAGTTAGCGGCGGCGCTACATGAATACACACGCACCATAGCTGCGTGAAGTGCCTAAAATAACAGTGTGGTTCAACTCACCGGTGAGTAGAGCAAGAAGGAGGGGAGGTATTAAGCGGTCCCCAACAGTTTGTGTGTGGATCTGGGATGTGATGATGGGAGTATGGATTAGTAAACATGAGTGTGTATTGATAAACATGCTCTTAAAAACAGCGCAGATTGACTCACCCGATGAATGACACGAGAGACGCGCTCCGGTACGGGAATGCCGATAAACGGTATAAATGAGTGTCCAATAGTGTTGTCTACATATCCTGGTCATAATCTTGTCACTTTGGTGCAAATTAGTTGAAAGTTAGACTTTCTGCCTAAAACCGTCTGTGAGGCGCCATCTGCTGGCGACCTGTATTACTACATTTGAATTTTGAATCTGGCGCCAACACTGGCACAGAAGTTGGACCTGACGTCTGCAAGTTGGACCTGACGTCAGCAGCCCCCCGCCCAGAGCTATATAAACGGCCCAGTCTCGTTCACGCCCCCTTTAGTCCTCCAGGCTACGCCCATTTAGAGGAAGATTTGAACAGGAAATGTGAATAACGTAAGCTCCGAGGAGCGGGGGTGAGAACCACTTTAAAGGAAAGCGGCCCGCCACAATAAAAGCCTAGGGACAGTGAGCCGCTATTTCATGTGTGTTAGAAATAGGAAAAAAAAGGATTTGAACGATTTTGACTACAGTACTGATCAAAACTGGTCGGAACAGTGTCAAATATACATTAAAATCATAGGACAGTGGAAAACCATTACATATTACAACTAAAATAATGATTTGTTTCCTATGATGGCAGGTGAGACTCTGCCTCCCCTGACTGCACGTCACTGGTTCACACCCCCTTACACACGTTAGGGCTGAAAAAACGAAATTCAATATTTAAAAATAATTCTAAAATAACCATAAATAATGACATTCGAACAAATATTAGACAGAACCATAATATTATAATATAGTCACAGACAGTCATGATTAGATAAATTATCCTGTTTCGGGACAGGTCAGAATATACGCACATAAAAACCATACGCACAGGGCGTGTGGACGTACGACTACTGGTGCCAGTTATTACACGCTTGTTCATAAGAACCCACGGCATCTGAGGGCATCTGATCTTAATAAAGAACTGGGATCAACAGCGTTTCTTCTAAAAACAGCATTGATTACCAGCATGCACTGCTCTCTGGTGGACAAAATAATAGCCGCTATAACTTTTTATACCCAGGGAGATATTACAAGCATTTATTGGTCAAAATATGAATACGTTTTGGATTATATTAACATTTTTATATTTCTATAAACAATTAAATTCAAATATGGTTTTTTGAGCTTAAGTCCCCTCCCTAACACACACACACACACACACACACACACACACACACACACACACACACACACACACACACACACACACACACACACTCTAAAACAGTGTCTGTTTGCTACAGTTTCCCATGTTGTCGTCTCGGCCCAAATCCTGCGAAGTCCCAGATATAAAGTAAGTGCTTAAGTTTTCTGTAACACTGCTATTAAATCTGGGGGGTGTAACTTTAAAGCTGGAACTCTGCAATAACAGCCATGCCATTAGCTCCTGGCTCTGAAACAGTTTGGTTCTATCAATTGTTTTCACATTTACTTTTGCCTCTTGCCTACTAGATTTTTGTGAGTCACTATTTGACTCTTTTGGCTGAGAGCTCATCGGCTGAGTGAGAGTGCGCCACTCTTTTTCACTTTTCTGTCTTAAAAAGCTGATCCAAAGATGTGAGAGAGAGGCCAAAAACACATGTGAAAACTAGCAATTGAAGCAGTTCCATTTGTAATACTGCAAAAGAAAATGTACAAAGGGTTTGGAAACATAGGTTTTACTTTCTCTACTTACTTTAAAAAACATACATATGTATATATGTGTGTGTACACATATATATATATATATATATATATATATATAGTGCCTTGCGAAAGTATTCGGCCCCCTTGAACCTTTCAAAATTTTGCCACATTTCAGGCTTAAAATTTTTTTATTTTTTTGTCATGAATCAACAACAAGTGGGACACAATCGTGAAGTGGAATGAAATTTATTGGATAATTTTAACTTTTTTAACAAATAAAAAACTGAAAAGTGGGGCGTGCAATATTATTCGGCCCCTTGCACTAATACTTTGTAGCGCCACCTTTTGCTGCAATTACAGCTGCAAGTCGCTTGGGGTATGTCTCTATCCGTTTTGCACATCGAGAGACTGGAATTCTTGCCCATTCTTCCTTGCAAAACAGCTCGAGCTCAGTGAGGTCGGATGGAGAGCGTTTGTGAACAGGAGTCTTCAGCTCTTTCCACAGATTCTCGATTGGATTCAGGTCTGGACTTTGACTTGGCCATTCTAACACCTGGATACGTCTATTTGTGAACCATTCCATTGTAGATTTGGCTTTATGTTTTTGGATCATTGTCCTGTTGGAAGATAAATCTCCGTCCCAGTCTCAGGTCTTTTGCAGACTCCAACAGGTTTTCTTCCAGAATGGTCCTGTATTTGGCTCCATCCATCTTCCCATCAATTTTAGCCATCTTCCCTGTCCCTGCTGAAGAAAAGCAGGCCCAAAGCATGATGCTGCCACCACCATGTTTGACAGTGGGAATGGTGTGTTCAGGGTGATGAGCTGTGTTGCTTTTACGCCAAACATATCGTTTTGCATTGTGGCCAAAAAGTTTGATTTTGGTTTCATCTGACCAGAGCACCTTCTTCCACATGTTTGGTGTGTCTCCCAGGTGGCTTGTGGCAAACTTTAAACGAGACTTTTTATGGATATCTTTGAGAAATGGCTTTCTTCTTGCCACTCTTCCATAAAGGCCAGATTTGTGCAGTGCACGACTGATTGTTGTCCTATGGACAGACTCTCCCACCTCAGCTGTAGTTATCTGCAGTTCATCCAGAGTGATCATGGGCCTCTTGGCTGCATCTCTGATCAGTCTTCTCCTTGTTTGAGATGAAAGTTTGGAGGGACGGCCGGGTCTTGGTAGATTTGCAGTGGTCTGATACTCCTTCCATTTCAATATAATTGCTTGCACAGTGCTCCTTGAGATGTTTAAAGCTTGGGAAATCTTTTTGTATCCAAATCCGGCTTTAAACTTCTCCACAACAGTATCTCGGACCTGCCTGGTGTGTTCCTTTGTCTTCATGGTTCTCTCTGCGCTTTAAACAGAACCCTGAGACTATCAAAAAGCAGGTGCATTTATACGGAGACTTGATTACACACAGGTGCATTCTATTTATCATCATCAGTCATTTAGGACAACATTGGATCATTCAAAGATCCTCACTGAACTTCTGGACTGAGTTTGCTGCACTGAAAGTAAAGGGGCCGAATAATTTTGCACGCCCCACTTTTCAGTTTTTTATTTGTTAAAAAAGTTTAAATTATCCAATAAATTTCGTTCCACTTCACGATTGTGTCCCACTTGTTGTTGATTCATGACAAAAAAAGAAAATTTTATATCTTTATGTTTGAAGCCTGAAATGTGGCGAAATGTTGAAAGGTTCAATACTAGGTTAAATACTTTCGCAACGCATTGTATATGGGATTTTATGACAGAGTTCCATTGGTGTGGTCTGAAAGTTACAGAAAGTTGCATATCCCAGCTTTAAGGTTACGTACCTCAGCTTGCATAACTGATGTATTCTCCCTCAGTATCTTCTCGTCTCCGGAGCAACCGTCTCCCGTCCTCCACAACTCAGCCTTAAACACCTTGAACTCTGGAGGCTCGTTACCAGACCTCTCCATCCTGCACTTCCCCTCCCCTCTGCCCACCCCCCTGGACCAAGATGAGCCCTATCCAGGACCCTCCCCTCTGAGTGGGGGCAGCAGCACAGGCAACCTGGCCTCCACACTGACCCAGCTGGGGATCAATGCAGGGAGCGGAGGGGGTTACCAACAGCAACACAACACAGGTGAGGCCAGACAACTCTACAGAAGAGAAACCAGAGAGAGACCAGAGGTGATGTCACATGAACAAAAACACACATCCATACATTAGAGAAGGTCGAAGTATAGCTGCTGCTTCTCCAGCAAGGAGAGATGGATGGGTGCACTGACTTTACAATGCTTTAAATATATGATAATGACACAGGGGTAGATCCATGTACATGGATCAGGCGGCCCAGTAGCGCAGTGGTTTGCGCTTGTGCTTCACAGTCCACCTCCAGACAGAGCCTTTCTGAGCATGTTCTCTCCATTTCTGTGTGTTTTCTCCAGGTGCTCCGGTTTCCCTTACCACTAAACAAGTTAATGGAACTTACCAGAAACCAAAATAGTTTGACCTTTGTCTTTGAAATGTGCTGTATACATAAATTTGTACACACCTTGTCATACAAAGAGTTTTTTATGTTAATGATTATGAAAATTGTAGATTGACACTGAAAGCATCAAAACTATGAATTAACTCGTGGAATTATGTACGTATCTAAAAAAAATATGAAACAACTAAAAAAGTGTCTGATTACTGCTTTGCACACTCTTGGCATTTTCTTGATGAGCTTCAAGAGGTAGTGACCTGAAATGGTCGTCAACAGTCTTGAAGGAGTTCCCAGAGATGCTCAGCACTTGTCGGCCCTTTCGCCTTCACTCTGTTGTTCAGCTCACCTCAAAACCATCTGGACTGGGTTCAGGTCCGGTGACTGTGGAGGCCAGGTCATCTGGCCCAGCACCCACCACTCTCCTTATTGGTCAAATAGCCCTTACACAGCCTGGGTGTGAATCTATTGTCAATAGTCATGAAAAGAAAGAAAAAAACTAATTGAATAAGAAAGTGTGTCCAAACTTTTGGTCTATACTGTACATATACATATAACGACACAGGTACCAAGGATCATTGCTGCAGAAAACACAAACATAAGCAAACTCTCAGCTCTATGGAGGAGCACGGTGTTTTCCTCAGATCTGGACCAGACTGTAATATTTATAGACTCACTGTTCACCTGTGTCCATCTGAGACAGAGGAACCAGGTCACACGCCTCTAAAGAGTCGAGTTCTGAGGATAGACTTTGAGTTCAATAGGTGTGGTCAGAAAGTTACTTAGCCCAGCTTTGAACATTTGATTTCCACACATGCTTCCATGTACATATAACTGGTACATACAGTGAGCCCGAACCCACAACCTTCGGGCTCAAAGGCTAATGCTCTACCAACTGCGCCACTGTCGCTCCATTAGTGTACAATTGGTGGCTACTATATACTTTTTTGCCTCACTCTATAATCATAAAACCAGAGGCTGAGTGTAGATAACACCAGCCGAAGAGAGGTCTGCACTAGGATCAGAGTGCCGAGTGCACCCTCTGGGGGACGATGCAGGACTCAGAGGAGACATGATGCTGAGGCTCCAAACCTCCACCAGGTCCAAGAGCCAGACCCCCACAGCCGACCACACTCTCAGTGCAGAGAGCTCCACTTTTGTTCTGGACAATAATACAATTACAATGAGTTGATTGCACAAGGACTGAATGACAGGACTGACGCCCAAAGCTGCAGCAAAAGTGATTCTAGCAGCGGGGGAAACCCAAACCACAGACTTTCCTGTAGAAACGGTTTTCAACTGTATCTCAGAGAGAGCAGAGAATCAAACAGACCCCACCCCCTCATGCGATTGGCTGAGCTGACCTGTCTCTCCACCAAGGCCACTAGGGCCTATGTCAGCCCAGCACCCTGGGGAAATCTGGTGCATGTTTTGGGTGATGGGAGAAACTGGAACACTCGGGGGTTACACACCCAAACATAGAGAGAAGATCCAAACTCCCCCCAAACACCCAGAGGAAAAAATGCAAACTCAGAAACGCATTAAAGGGCCCTGGTCGACACGGGATCGAACCCATGACCTGAGGATGATCTGAGGTCTCTGCAGCCGCTGAGAGACATTTACATTAAAGATAAGAGCTGTGTCATGTTGTTTGCATGTTTCCATAGCGACTCTCTCACTTGTTGTTATTGTTGTTTGTGGGCCGTTGCCATGACGCCTCTCTTGTCTCCACAGGCCTGCTGACCTCTCTCCAGAGCGCGCTCAGTAACCCCTCCCTCCCCTCCTCTCTCAGTAACCCCAACCTTCACTCCTTCACATCGCTTCACTCGTCAAACTCCAACCCCTCCCTCCAGTCCTCGCTCTCCAATCCCTCGTTGCAGTCCTCACTAAGCTCCTCCCCCTCATCGCTCAGCAGCCAATCCCTGCACTCGTCGCTCAGCAGCTCGTCCCTGCAGTCCGGGGCCGGAAACCCCTCCTATACTGGCGGAGTGGGCGGTACCTCGCTCAGCACGTCACCACGGCGACGGGCACAGCTGTCACCACTGATCCTGCCTCTGGGGGCGGAGCCACGAAGACACCACGCCAAACAGTTCTCTCCCACAATGTCACCCACGCTGTCGTCAATCACACAGGTGAGGCTCCTCCCACACTGGTGAGGCTCTTCCAGCTGTGGGAAATGCTGCAGAATCTGAGGTCATGTGGCCAGCGAGGGCTGTTACTAAGACAGTAACCGACACAATTACTGTATCTCAGACCTCTCTCTCTTACTCTCTCTCTCAGGGCGTCCCGTTGGACACCAGTAAACTCCCTGTGGATCAGCGCCTGCCCCCGTTTCCCCTGAGCCAGAACCAGCAGAGACTGCACACGCAACAGATGCAACAGATGCACAACCTGCGGAACAGCCTGAGCCACCAGCCCCAACACCACTACGCCAACACGGTGAGTCCGTGAGTGTTGCCTGTGAGTGTAAACTGTATTTGTCTTTATATATTTTCACAATCTAACACAATGAAGTCCAAAGTGAATATTGTGACGCTGCAGTTGATGTTTGATGTGTTGTCCTGTCCTCACAGCAGAGGGCGCTGAACACACACTCGTCTCCACTCATCAAGAGTGAGATGTGTCTTGACCAGTGCGGCTCCTCCACTTCCTGTCCCAACCAGCTCAAACAGGAAGCAGAGTCGGACCAGAGACGGACGCTACCGCAGCTACAGCAGATCAGCCACAATCTGGCAACTGATCTCTACAACGTGAGTGACTGTACCCTGACCCCCACTCACTGCATGCATGTAACCACGAAAAAAACGGATCCTCCTGAGACAAGACCAGAAGATGCATTCAAGCGCATAGGGAAAGCATGCTGATATTAGAAAGGCATGTTTTTGGATGCATATAGAGGCCACTCCCTCATTTTAATCATAATGATGAATACAGTCCCAATGCAAGTGTCTCAACGTTTAGTTATAGTTTCTGGTCTAAACCTATGGGGGCGGCTCAAAAACGTCCATGAGCATGTGCGCTGACATGCAATACCACCCTGGGCTGGTGGGGGTAGACCCAGAAAGAGAATTACCCAATGCATTTGTATGGCGTCTTCTTTCCACACGCGTTTGTTAACATTTTCCTGCGGGAGGGGCTGCCCACGGCCCAAGTTCCATAGAAGGCAAAAGTGGTGGCACATTAGTTTCAACGGCGGAGATAGGCGTGACTACGTCCGTTAATAGACACAGTCTATGGTCTAAACCCTGGTCTTTCCGCTGTCTAGTTTATTTCTTCTCTCTGGTCTCTCTCTGGTCTCTCTGTGTCTCTCTGGTGTGTGTTCAACAGTATGTATGAGAGACATTTTATGGTAACCAAATTGTGAAAGCTGAGATAAAGTTACAGACTCCTTTGAAAGCAGCACAAGGCTCCGTCTGCTATTTCGTCAAACGTTTTGTCTCCTCTACAGGACGCCTTGTTCAACTCGCTCCTGGACGATCCGTTCCTCAACCTGCAGTTCACGGGAAAATCCAATCAACAGGTACCAACACTGCTCCTCTATCAGCTTCATTCAGTCGTGTTCAGCTCCCACATCTTTTCTGCTTGTGTTCAGTTCTCTCCGGACCCCGGGTCAGATGGCCTGCATCACTCTGCTCTGAGCTGCCACGGCCTGGAAAGGACCCACTCTATGGAGGATCAGAACCAGAACCAGAGCCACGTCTACGGAGCAGATACTCGCCACAACGTGCCCAACATCATCCTCACAGGTGCAGACGTGGCCTAATCTAATCTCCAATACTGAAGTACTTCAATTTCAATTCCATTAAATGTACAGCTCGAATACAAAAGAGTAGATTTCTCGGCGGACTTTACAAAACAGTTGAATTCACCAACACAGATCAGAGAATCAAACGGTTCAAACACAAGAAATGCAGTGACATAAAACACATAAAGCCATTGGTCCATTAGGGACAGATTACCAATGTCTATAAATGTCGTTGAATGTCGAGTGTCCTGGATCATCAACACTGTCCTTAGACCTTCCTACAAACCTATAAAATGTAAGTGGGGATTGCTGGAAGCCATGGTAAGCAAGGAATTTCCATGGATACTGGGTTGTTGTGTGTAAGTTGCTGGGATACAGTACCAGACACCTGGTAGAATAGAGTCAAGTAGAGCCGAGTAAATCAGAGCAGGGCTGGTGAAAACTTTTTTGACCAACATAAAAGTTTGTGAAATTATGACTGAATCACTGAAATAATCCGTGTCCTTGAACCCACTGTGGCCCCCTGCAGGCGACTCCCCTCCTGGCCTGTCCAAAGAGATTGCCAGCGCTCTGTCCCATGTGCCGGGGTTCGAGATGGACCCCTTCTCCCTGGACGACCCGCTGCGCATCGACCCCCTGGCCCTGGACATGCTGGAGGGAGACCTGATGTTAGCCGACCCTGCAGTGGAGGACTCCTTCAGATCGGACCGCCTCAAATAACACCAAACACACGCACACACACACACACGGGAGCACACGGACAGACTCTCTGGTGTGTCTCTCTCTCTGATCTCTCTCCAGTGTCTCTCCCTCTCTCTGGTCTCTCTCCCTCTGTCCTCTTTCTCTCTCTTTTCTCTCTGTCCTCTGTCTTTCTCTGTTCTCTCTCTGTTCTTTCTCTAATCTCTCTCTCTCTCTGTCCTCTTTCTGTTCTCTCTCTGTCCTCTGTCTCTCTCTATCATTTCTCTCCCTCTGTACTCTCTCTTGTCTCTCTCCTTCTGTTCTCTCTCTTGCTTTCCTCTCTGTTTTTTTCTCTCTCTCTGTACTCTTTCACTCTCTGGTCTCTCGCTCTGGACCCTGCCTCAAATAACACAAAACACACACATATGGCCTTCACCTTCGCCACGCACGTCTCTCCCCAAACCCTCTCCTCACCTCCACGACTGCGCACGCTCGGCTCGACTCCAGTTTTTTGGAAATGATCCCCAAAAAAAGTTCTTAATATCGCCTGTTGCTTGTAGACGCTTGTTTGCAAACCAGAGCAGAGGAGTGAATGCAGCCGGACAGACCGTGGCTCAAAACACAAACTGTACAGGGCTGTCCCGCCTCCCCTCCTCTCTGCTCGGCCTCCTTCGTCTGCCTGATGCTTTGCACGATTTTCTGGGAATTTTGAATGGAAAATGTAACACACACACACAAAAAAAACAATATGGAAGCATGCAACAATCAGGTTGAAAGCGTTTGATATCGGGTTCTGTGGAAATGTCCAGCCGAATATGCAGTACTAAAACATAAGCTTCTTATTTTTGTTTTTAAAATCTATATATTCTTCTATTTCTAAGCTCAAAGGTTTGTACTAAATGTGTAAACGTTGTAATGATCAGACCACGGGAAGTGTCTTGTCCACAAACGGAATGTTTAAGCCGTAGATCTGCCAGAGATGGGACGAGACAGGGCTGGGCGCATGTGGTGCAAAATTCTACTGAAGAAATCCAACTACAGCACTTTTATTGAGAATTTTCTACTGCTACTTTATGTACTACTTGCAACAAAACAGTACTGCTCTTTTTATACACTCATATTGTGTTTTTTTGTTCATTACCACACAAGTGTAGAGGCTCCCAAATACTACTTAATATATTAAACTAAGTTTACCCCTTTTTTTAACAGCTGTGAAGCATTTTTACCAAGTAAACCAGACCTGATTAAGTTTATGGATTATGGTTATGGATGAGCTAGATTTCAGAGAGTCCTATGAGAATCCTGCTCTTGAGTAAACGCAAGATGGCCGCCACAGCAACAGCACCTGATACACTCTGTCTGGTCCCAAAAGCAGATCTATGGCTCTTAGCATCTTCACCAGGTCTTTAGCTTTTGTTATTCAGGCCAATCGCAACAGGAGAAAAGCCATGGTGCGAAAAGTCTAAAGTCGCCAAGAAATGTCACAATATAAACAAAAATATTTTACAGAATTTATCTTTTTACAGAAACTGTATTTTGCAAACTGTTGAATTATATTTTAAGTTCTTTTAAAGATATATTTTCCCCCACAGATGTATTTATGTAAAACGGGCACTTTTACAGAAATTATATAGTTAAAAAGACAATGTTGTTGAAAAAATCTATGCTAATATGAGAGATTGAGATGGGGACGTGGAGTAAGAGATGAAGGACATGCATCTAAAGGGTCAGGGTTAGGTTTAGGGCTAACTTACACCAAGCCCCAGGTCTCCCCAAGATGGCCTGTGCTCATTCGCTCACGCTCGCACCATGTACGAGTTCTGGCCAGCTCTGGGTCTCCTGGTCTTTTAAAGAAAGGTGCACTTTATTTATTTATCCACGGTCATTTTAAAGCTCAGAACAGCCCGATGCTTGTCAAAACAGTTTTTCAGTTCGTGATGTCGGTCCCCTGGACTAGTCCGTTGAACTAAAGTGGTCCTCTTACTAAAATGTTTGGACACCCCTGCCGTAGCGCAATTTATCCTCTGCATTTGACCCATCCTGATGCCACTAAGGCAGGGGTTGCTGTACTACGGCCCCCAGGGTCCCATTTCTAGACGTTGATCCTTGGTCAGGACTACCTAGGATTTTCCCTGTTATACATGTTTTGAGTGGTAGGGGAAACCGGAGCAGACATGGGGAGAACATGCAAACTCCACTCAGAAAGACCATGTTTCTGACCGGGATTCAAACCCAGGATCTTCTTGCTGAGAAGCGAGAGTGCTATCCACTCAGCCACTGTGCCGCCCCACTGTGCAGTAGGTGCTGTGGGACCAGAGTGACATGTGAGTTTTCTGACCAATCAGAGAGGAGCTAAAGCATTACTAAAATCCCTACTGAACCCAACCTTTGAGAAAGCTGAAGATTCACTGTCAGCTGAATATGAGCTATGAGTAGGGGTGCACATAACTTTTTCAGTGAGGTACTCGGATGAGTACAAGGAGATGGTGTTTGGTACTCACTCCAATTGTTGCGTGGTTCTTAATGGAGATTTTTTTTATTTTTAGATCAGCTCAGATAATCCACTCAATCCAAGTCAAATAATGACTCGCAGGGCTCTTTCTTAAAAATGGCAAACAAAAAATCAAAACAATGTTCTGTTTGATTGGTTCACAACATTTTAGTTTTGGGCACAACCAACATTATAAGGCATTATTAATGCAAGGGAAAATGTAGGTACCGCAGCTTTAATTTCGAGACACGGGGAGGACATGGACACTCCTTTAAGGCTCCATAGTCCAGCTCTGTTTCTTGCAGTAACGCAAAATGCATTTATTTATTTTGAGTTACGCAAAGACACACTTGCAACAAGCAGAGAATGGTCCTTGGTACATTATGACCACGTTCGGCTACGTGCACGCCGCGTTGTTGTCAATACAAAGCGGCCGAAGTGGCTCTGGAGTCAGAACGCTGCTGCCACGGAGGATTTGGAATCCTGTTCAAGTATGTACAGCAAAAACTGCCCCGCGATCATCCACACCCTCTCTGGCATTGCACCACGCCCCCCTAGGGAGGAGCGTCCCACTATTTGAGAAGGACTGGTCTATGAAGTACGCAAAGGCGCTTACAAACTCAAGTGATAATACGCATTTCTGATATTTGTCACGCATGCATACCTGCGTATGTGCACCCCTGGCTATGAGTAAACACTCATAGCACTGAGTGCCGAAATGATATGAGAGACTGGTCATGGAGACTGGACCTCACAGTGGTCAGGGAGACAGGACCTCAAAGTGGTCATGAGACTGGACCTCAAAGTGGTCATGAGACTGGACCTCACAGTGGTCATGAGACTGGACCTCACAGTGGTCATGAGACTGGGGGGTCAGACTTGTTTGAAGCTTAGTTTAATTTAACCAGAGTTCTGTCTCCTGGATTGGGGCTCGTCCTTCATCTCTTGTGGGTACATACCGTATCTCCCTCCACTCTTCGAGCCTCTGGCCGACTTCATCAAAACAAAAACAAGCAGAAAAACCCAAAACACAATTGCACTTTTTCTTTCTTTTACAAAAAGAAAATTGCTGCCTTTTTTAACTGAGACAAAGTTTGAGTAAAAAGAAAACTGTAAAAATAAAGAATTCTTTGAGCTGTATTAAGAAAGTACATTCGCAAAATGGGTTTGTCCAAAATATGTAAAAGATATATTTATGAATAAATAATGATTTATATTTGGAGACTTTTCATTTAGAAGCAGCCACTGCGATAAACCCGATCACCTGCCACCGAATATTTCACCTCTATTATTTTTTATGAATTAGTTTTAGGATTTTTCAGGCTAAAAATAACAAAACTATCCTGTCACACAAAACTTTTTTTTTTTTTCAGAAAACACTACTTACTCCACAGTATAATAGTTTATTAAAGCTGGGCTACGTGACTTTAGTCTCATCAATAACATGTAGTTTGTCCAACAGAAATATTGTGTAAAAGTAAAATATGTGCAAATCAGACCACAATTTTTAAATTGCAAATTTACATTTTTCATTTTACAAAATGCTGCATTTATCTCATTAGAAAACATGTTCTCTTTTGTGTACAGAGCCCCGTGAGTCATGTGACTCTTTGGGCAGAGAGCTTATTGGCTGAGCTTTTAAATCAGCTTTTTTAGACAGAAAAGTGACAAAGATGTGACAGAGGCCAATAATACATACATGTGAACCATAGACTGGCGGGCCAAAAATAGTGCTCTACTGGAGCTATCCAAAATGGCCGTGAGTGGTCCCGCCCACAAAAAAATTGTGAAAAAACGCATCTGCGCATGCGTCAGCCGATGAGAGCTCCATTCATTTGAACGAGAGACTTCAAAAATTCACAGCGAGTAAACTAGAGTGGTCCAAAACACCCCCTCAGCATTGACACACATGTGGAACGGAGCTTTGGGCCAAGAGCCAACTTTTGGTCCATCCTGTAAAGACGTTTTTGAGAGGTCTGCTAACGCTATATGTTAGCATTGGCTAATTCTTCTTCTGGGTCCACCCCCACAGGCCCGGGGTGGTACTGCAGCATGTCAGCGCACGTCATTTTGGCCACTTTTGAGCTGGGACCCGCCCACACTGATGTGAACACAAGACCAGACCAGGATCTCAGATTTGAAATTCCCAAATTGCTTCCATCACTTGTAGACAAATGTAAACTGTTTTAGAGCCAGAAACTAGTAGCATTGAGTTTTTTACAGAGTTCTATTGTTGCGGTCTGAAAGTTACGTACCCCATCTTTAAGTCTCTACAATTCAAGTAATTTAAAATCATGTTCTTTAGTTTTATAATCTGAATCTGAACTATGCATCTCTACAAACTCTGGTTTATAAGCCACTCAACCACTTTCCACTCAAAACTCTCACTTTTGGCTCATTTCTGTTCAGTGGAACTTCAGAATCATCCAAATATTTAAATTGAACTATCGAAAAGTAAAATGAATTATTCTAATGTGTTAAAATATGCAAAACTGCGGGCAGCGACAGCCGTTGAGTCTGTAACTAACTTTTGTAGTCCACCGAAGTGCGTTTCTAACATTACTACACATAATAAATATATATATTTAGAGTAGAATTAAAATCCAACTCTTTTAGAGCTAATATTTATCTTATTTTACAAACAGAAAATTGTTACTGAAATATTCTTGTTTTGGGACATTTTTAACAGCTTAAATATTATTGTTTTTGTTTCATTTTTTTGTCAAATTTGGATGTTATGTGGAAGGAGTCGTCGGCGCTGGAAGCCGATTGGACAAAGTTTATAAAGAGCTTACAAAAATGTAACATGTTCAAATGATTTCGATGTGTTCCGGATTGTAGATTTAACTTTTGCTTTGAGATTATCTTTTACTACAGTTTTGTACAGTTTTTGAAAACTGCAGATTCAGACTCGTGTTCCAGTGTGACACCAGCGCGGAGCGTTCAAGCCATGGAAACGGCCAATGAAAAACATGCTAATGCTAATGCTAACGGCCAAATCCCGTTTATATGGTTTTATACACGTGCCATCCGCAGTTTCATTGTGCGCATGCGTTTCCATAGAAAGCGTCAGAGCGTTCTTTGAAATGAACGTTGGAAATGCAGCTGTTCAGATCAGATACAGATAAAGCACAAGCCTGATGAGCAAAGTGTGTTTAATAAAGCTGTGATAGAAACGCCCACAGAGTCTGAACGGCTCCAGCGAGAAACGCGGCGCCAAAACCAGCTTGGACCCGCCCAGGGCCGCATTCTGACATGTTTTTACCGTTGTATCATAATTAAAGCTGTTGTTATTTTCTAGGCTTTCGTTTGTGCTTCTTTGTATTGATAATAATTGGCTGTATTCATGTTTGTCATGTTATTAACCAGGGAACGAGAGGTTTTTAAACAGTAACTGCATTATTTTACACCAAATAAATATGTGAAAGAACCACTGTCTGAGCATTCATTTACTAATGCACAAATATAGTTATATTACTGACTCTAGACGGAACAGAACAGGACGTTTTGGCTCTAATGAACAACTAGAGCATGGACATTGGACAATAATCTCAAGCAGAGAGGCCCCCAGACCCCGCCAGCCCCGGTGATCCAAGATGGCGCCCTATTCAAATGAATGGCTTGTGCTCAGTAGCGCACGGGACTTCACGGGGACCGGGAGAATAGCAGAACTCGCCTATAGGCAGTGGATTATCTCCCCTGATGCATTGCGCCAAATACGCGTGTGTGGCTCTCATGCACGTGCATAGAGGAGTCACGCGTATCTCCACCGTTCTAATGGGCCAAATATTGAGCTTTCATGGAGTGATTCAAAATTACCACGGGGGCTGAAAATTTTGAAAAAACGCATCTGCGCATGCGTTAGCCCGCCGGCACGAGTCCCATTCATTTAAACGAGTGACTTCATAAATTCACAACAACTAAACTAGACTGGTCCAAAAAAATTCACTCCCCTCAGCATTGACAAGAGCCAACTTTTGGACCATCCTGTAAAGGTGTTTTCGAGAGGTAAGAAGATGCTATATGTTACGGGCTTATGGCTGCCCGAGGGTGGGACAGCCATAAGCTATACCCTGTGCCATTCCCTTAGTGATAACACAAAGAATACATTACAGAAAAACACCTGGAGTTAATCAGTCTAATCAGGAAAATCTAATTCTTGTTCCGTGTAAGAATCAGCCGACCACAACCGCTGATATTAAAACTTTGAAACTTGCTACGCTTAATGTCAGATCTCTTTGTAACAAGTCTTTTTTAATCAATAATTTTATTTGTTCTCATAATCTTGATCTTATAATAATAATTTTTTGGACACTCAAAGACGCTTCACATGTGTCATTATTCATTCACTCCATACACGGTGGTGATAAACTACTAATGTAGCCACAGCTGCCCTGGGGCACACTGACAGAAGCGAGGCAACCAGTATGTGCCATCGGCCCCTCTGACCACCACCAACCATTCACACACACACCAGACTCATTCTAGGCAATGGGGGTGAAGTGTCTTGCCTAAGGACACAACGGCAGTTTGGCACTTTACAGCCGCAGCCGCCCCACTGTGGCTGGTGTTCCCAGAGGTTAAGTGTCTTGCCAAGGACACAACGACAGTAGTCAGTGGGAGTCGATGGTGAAAGTCTTGATCGGGGCTTGAATCCACGACCTTCTGGTTCAAAGGCCAACGCTCTACCAACTGAGCTACTGCCACCCATGTGTTCATGGCTGAAACTTGGCTTGACCAAAATTCAGGAAATGCAGTTTTAATAGAAGCATCACCACCAAATTTCAAGTTTGAATCTGAAATACGGAAAAACAAAAAAGGAGGAGGCTTAGCTGCCATTTTTAGAGACCACTTTGTCTCCCATAGAATGTCTCTTGGGAAGTTTCCGTCTTTTGAATATGTGTCTTTTAAAATACAACAAAAACAATCTCCTCCAGTACTCTTCATTGTTCTATACAAGCCACCGCAGTCATGTCACAGTTTTATTGATAATTTTACAGAGTTGCTTTCAGTTGTATGCACAGATTTTGATAGTTTGGTTATTACAGGTGATTTTAATATTCATGTGGATAATGTTAATGACAGAAATGCAAAAGAGCTGAGTTCTGTACTTGAATCCTTTGATCTCACTCAGCACGTAAGTGGCCCCACCCACAGCAGAGGGCACACTCTAGATCTGTTAGTTACAAAGGGGGTGAATATTTCAAATGTAAACGTGGTCGATGTTGCTCTTTCGGATCATTTCTGTGTTTTTTTTGACATGTGTTTCACAAACAAACCACCAGTGGACTCTGCAACTGTACGAAGAAGACACATAAATGAAAATACGAGTGAACTATTTATGGGAATAATAAACTTTGAGAATGCATCGTATTCTACTGTAGATGAACTGTTTAACTCTGTCACCTCTAGTGTTTTGAATGTTCTGGATACCGTTGCCCCTGTGAAGGTTAAAATAGTGAAAAATAAACAGAAGGCGCCGTGGGCTGAAGCAGACTCGGTCAAGGCACAAAAGAGAAAGTGCCGGAGGGCCGAGCGGAAGTGGCGCAAGTCCAACCTCCAGGTTGATTACGAGATCTTCAAAGATAAGTTGTGCGAGTTTAACCGGGTGCTACGTAGTACGAGAGAAAGGTATTTTTCTGAAATGATTGAAGGCTGCAGCAACAATCTGCGTGTTCTGTTCTCAACAGTTAATAGATTAACAAACCCCCCTGTTCAGATGCCATTAGAGCTTACTTCCAAACGTAAATGCAATAAGTTTGCTAATTTTTTCAATGACAAGGTTCAAGGCATCAAAAACGCCATGGTCTCCAATCCACAGATAACCATCCAACAGCCAGAAAGGCTCTCTGAGCTAACTCACTTTGCACCTGTAAATGATAAAACTGTCCAAGAGATAATCTCCAGTTTGAGCTCCTCCACATGCAGCCTGGATGTACTACCCACTAGATTTCTGAAGTCTGTTCTGAGCAGTCAGTTACCTTCACTCACACAGATAGTAAACATGTCCCTTCATTCTGGAATATTCCCAAAGGCCCTGAAAACTGCAGTCATCAGGCCCCTGCTAAAAAAGAGCAGTCTGGATGCTACGGTACTTAACAACTATCGTCCCATCTCAAATCTGCCATTTATGGGGAAAGTCCTTGAGAAAGTTGTCTTCCTACAGCTTACTAGATTTCTTATAATCAACAACTCATTTGATAAGTAAGTAAGTAAGTAAGTAAGCTTTATTTATATACCGCCTTTCACAGACCAGAGTCACAAAGCGGTTTACAATTGTTATTTTTGGGCACTTGTCCTCTCACTCCACACAGAGATGGGAGCGGGGTCGCCGAACAGGAGGCGCATGCCAGACCTATTGTACATATTTTTAGTGGTAGGGAAAACCGGAGTACCCGGAGGAAACCTACGCAGACACGGGGAGAACATGCAAACTCCACTCAGAAAGGCCCTGGTCTGGCCGGGATTCGAACCCAGGACCTTCTTGCTGAGAGGCGAGAGTGCTATCCACTCAGCCACCGTGCCGCCCGACTGATATGTTTCAGCACTGAGACTGCTCTTGTTAAGGTTACAAACGATATCCGGCTGAACACTGACGCAGGCAAAGTCTCAATCTTAATCCTGTTAGATCTGAGTGCTGCCTTTGACACTGTTGACCATGAGATCCTCTTACAGAGACTAGAGGACTGGGTTGGCGTCGCTGGCACTGCCCTAAGTTGGTTTAGGTCTTACCTTGAGGACAGGAAGTACTTTGTGGAGATTGGAAACTGTGTCTCAGATCATATGGCCCTGACCTGTGGAGTCCCACAGGGGTCGATCCTGGGACCTCTTCTGTTCAATCTCTACATGCTGCCGTTAGGTCAGTTAATACGCAGAAACGAAGTGTCCTATCATAACTATGCAGACGACACTCAGATCTATGTCTCACTGACTGCAGGAGAACATGGACCAGTGGACTCACTCCTTCACTGTATCCAACAGATCAGAGAGTGGATGCAAAACAACTTCCTTCAGCTAAACGCAGACAAAACTGAAATGATTGTCTTTGGTCCCCAGAAACAAAGAGAGAGCGTCATCTGTCACCTCCAGTCTCTTTCCCTAAAACCTTCAAACAAGGTCAGAAATCTAGGGGTAATACTGGACTCAGACTTAAATTTTAATAGCCACATCAAATCAGTAACATCAGCAGCTTTTTACCATCTAAAAAACATTGCCAGGATCAAAAACATAGTGTCTAAAGCAGACCTGGAGATTCTTATCCATGCATTTGTCTCCAGTAGGTTAGACTACTGCAATGGCCTGCTCACAGGTCTGTCCAAACAGGCTGTAAAACAGCTGCAGTACATTCAAAATGCAGCAGCTCCAGTCCTGACTAGAACCAGGAAGTACGACCATATTAGTCCAGTCCTCAGGTCTCTGCACTGGCTTCATGTGGCTCAGAGAATAGACTTTAAAACAGCTCTGCTTGTTACAAGTCTCTCCATGGCCTCGCACCAAAATATATTAGTCCCATATGAACCAGCCCGGACTCTGAGGAGCACAGGGACTGGACTCCTGCTGGGACTCTGAGGAGCACAGGGACTGGACTCCTGCTGGGACTCTGAGGAGCACAGGGACTGGACTCCTGTTAGTGCCCAGAGTCAGAACTAAACATGGGGAGGCTGCTTTTCAGATTCATGCTGCTAAAATCTGGAACCGTCTTCCTGAAGATGTGAGACAGGCCTCCTCTCTGACAATGTTTAAAGCCAGGTTAAAGACAGTTCTGTTTAGCTGTGCATACAACTGAGGGATTTTATATTTGTATCTTTCTTTTTAATGTACTGTGATTATTTATGGTTTTAATGCTTTCTTGTTTTGTTCAGCACTTTGAATTGCCTTGTGTATGAATTGTGCTATATAAATAAACTTGCCTTGCCTTGCCTATCCAGTAGGGCTGAAACAACTAATCGATTAATCGACGACTAATCGATTATTGAAATAGTCGACAACTATTTTAGTAATCGATTAATCGTTTTCTGGTTCACACGGACTCAAACAGAGCAAAAATGACATGAAAATGTAGTATTTTTTTTTATAATTTCATGAATATCTGTCTGTCTCATCCAATCAGAGCAGAATTAGCACAAAGAGCCTGTTACAAACATTTACTTTAAGTTTACGCCATCAATACGTCCTCGAGTGTTGCCACTTTAGCTTTTTGTGATGAAAAAATACATTTTTTCTACACAATTCACAGCCAAGCGATTACTCGAGTAATCGTAAAAATAATTGATAGATTAATCGATTACAAAATAATCGTTAGTTGCAGCTCTACTATCCAGTTATTATTATTGATCCCCAAACCGACTCCACTGATCAATCACTCCGCCCACAACTCAGCCCCACATTCTCTGCCCTTCCCTGAGCTCTCGCGAGATCCAAACTTTGCCCCGGGAGTTTGCCACAGTTTCCTCCCGGAACCTGTAGACCGCGCACACACTCACTGAACAGCTGTAACGGGACCATAGATTGTAACGGAACAGAGGCCATGGGGTCGTTCACGCTCAACTCTCCCGTAGCTACTCTTCGCGCACTGATCACCGTGCGTCACGAGTCCTTCGCGCTGGAGCTGGTGGGACTGTTTGAGGGCACGGTGGCGAAGCTGGAGGCCGAGGTGCGCGCACTGAGAGCGGAGAACCTGCGGCAGGCGCGCGTCATACAGGAGGCGCAGGACAAAGAGGCAAGAGAGAAGGAGGCCCGGGAGAAGGAGGCACGGGAGGAGGAGGCCCGGGAGAAGGAGGCCTGGGAGGAGGAGGTCCGGAAGAAGGAGGCCTGGGAGAAGGAGGCACGGAAGAAGGAGGCCCGGGAGAAGGAGGCACGGAAGAAGGAGGCCCGGGAGAAGGAGGCACGGAAGAAGGAGGCCCGGGAGAAGGAGGCCCGGGAGAAGGAGGCCCGGGAGAAGGAGGCCCGGGAGAAGGAGGCCCGGGAGAGGAGCAGAGCGGAGCAGGAGAGGAGAGATGGTACGTGTGTTTAAACGTGCTTTGTGTCAGACGGCAAAGTTCAGTTTTTTTATGAAATTAGCGGTAACAGTAAGTTAAGATAAACGTCAGTGGGGACGTTTCAAAAAGGAAAACATATTCCGGTGATTTGGCTATTCCCCCAGTGAAACACTAAAACAGTATTCACAAAAGAAGCATGAGATAAGGAAGTTGAAACTGAACGAGTGCAACGCGCCTATGCGCAACATGGGGGTAAAGCTGGGATACCTAACTTTTATTAGAGAGTTCTGTTGTGATTTTTAAAGTTCCATACCCCAGCGTTGGAGAGCTATGAGAGTCAGACGATGCCTCTTTCAGTAGGACAAGGGAAGTGTGTTATTTTTCTGAATTGAAATGCAAAGCTGTAACTTTCTGCTCACACGGCCTTGAAGTATCGGTCATCTACACATGGTCTTCCTCTTTGTTATGCTGATGTGAGTGTTGATCAGTCTCACATCACCATCGTCACATCAGACAACTCCACTGCCGCTTTTGAGCTCTGTTTACACCAGCCCTTCTTGGGCCTACTCTACCCTACTGGTACTGGCCCTGTTTATCCTAATCGACAGTGATTGGCCGGAATGCTGCCAGAAGCCATAGTTGCCATGGAATTTCCCTAGATACTGGTTTGTGGAGAGTAGACTGCTAGGATATGGTACCACCAAGGGCATACGTTTGCATGGACATGTCGCCAACCAATATTTTGGGAGGACTAAAATGTTCCCACCCTTCTTCCACGCTACGTACACTTGTTGATAACACGTTCAACATTTCAAGAGATCCCTTGTTCCTTTGGTTGTCAGACTGTCATACAACCTACCTGTATGAGTGTTCTGCTGCTGGACACCTGATAAATAAAGTATTTATCTGAGGTAGGGCTGGGCGATCTGGCAAAAAAGTAAAATCTTGATTTTATTTCCTGCTTTGGACGATTTCAATTTTGAATAGAGTTTCATTAAAGTCACCAAAGACAGACTTTGCCATTAAAAATGTTTTTTGATTTTTCCGCTCAATATTCAAGTTTCAAAACTATTTTTAATTAGTTTCCCCCAATATGTATTATAAAAGTCTTTTACAGACTTTGTAACGGACCTGTCTTGGGTCCCCCCTGCCACGTCCACTCCATCAAGAGAGAATGAGGACACGTCCCTTTGTTTTTCATCCCCGCCTTCACTGTTAGACCTACCTGAACACTCTGCAGGGCTAATAAAATCGGCGATGAAGACTATTCCTCTCACACCCATATTAGCTAGATCTAGGGTCCTGTCCAACATTCTAAACCAGTCCCCATATGTACCTCCAAAACCACCTAGGGTTTCCAATTCACCTACAAAAACCACCTCAGCCAGTCCCTCCCCTAACCTCATGACCATTCCACCCCCACTTCCCCCTCGTTCAACACCCAAAACCTCTGCCTCAGCCCACCCCGGCCCTAACCCATCACCAAAAACCCCTCCACCTCCCTGCCCCCCTCGTTCAACACCCAAAAGCCACCCGCCTCTCCATCCTCCTCCCCTGCCTTCCTCTTCCCCCTTTTCTCTAAACACTAGGATGCACAGGGTCTCTGCTTCGCAGCCACTGGCAGTCTAGTTAGAGGAGAGACCCGGCTGGGGCCCTGTCATGAAGCCACCTGTGCCATTCCTTTAGTGATAACACAAAGAATACATTACAGAAAGACATCTGGAGTTTATCAGTCTAATCTGGAAAATCTAATTCTTGTTCCGTGTAAGAATCAGCCGACCACAACCGCTGATACTGAAACTTTGAAACTTGCTACGCTTAATGTCAGATCTCTTTGTAATAGGGCTGAAACAACTAATCGATTAATCGACGACTAATCGATTATTGAAATAGTCGACAACTATTTTTGTAATCGATTAATCGTTTTCTGGTTCACACGGACTCAAACAGAGCAAAAATGACATGAAAATGTAGTATTTTTGATTAAAACCGACTTTGTTTTTATAATTTCATGAATATCTGTCTGTCTCATCCAATCAGAGCAGAATTAGCACAAAGAGCCTGTTACAAACATTTACTTTAAGTTTACGCCTCAATACGTCCTCGAGTGTTGCCACTTTAACTTTTTGTGATGAAAAAATAATTTTTTTCTACACAATTCACAGCCAAGCGATTACTCGATTAATCGATTACAAAATAATCGTTAGTTGCAGCTCTACTTTGTAACAAGTCTTTTTTAATCAATAATTTTATTTGTTCTCATAATCTTGATCTTATGTTCATGGCTGAAACTTGGCTTGACCAAAATTCAGGAAATGCAGTTTTAATAGAAGCATCACCACCAAATTTCAAATTTGAATCTGAAATACGGGAAAACAAAAAAGGAGGAGGCTTAGCTGCCATTTTAAGAGACCACTTTGTCTCCCATAGAATGTCTCTTGGGAAGTTTTCGTCATTTGAATATGTGTCTTTTAAAATACAACAAAAACAATCTCCTCCAGTACTCTTCATTGTCCTATACAAGCCACCGCAGTCATGTCACAGTTTTATTGATAATTTTACAGAGTTGCTTTCAGTTGTATGCACAGATTTTGATAGTTTGGTTATTACAGGTGATTTTAATATTCATGTGGATAATGTTAATGACAGAAATGCAAATGAGCTGAGTTCTGTACTTGAATCCTTTGATCTCACTCAGCACGTAAGTGGCCCCACCCACAGCAGAGGGCACACTCTAGATCTGTTAGTTAATAAGGGGGTGAATATTTCAAATGTAACTCGAACAAAGTCGGTCGATGTTGCTCTTTCGGATCATTTCTGTGTTTTTTTTTATATTTGTTTTAATAACAAACCACCAGTGGACTCTGCAACTGTTCGAAGAAGGCGCATAAATGAAAATACGAGTGAACTATTTATGGGAATGATAAACTTTGAGAATGCATCGTATTCTACTGTAGATGAACTGTTTAACTCTGTCACCTCTAGTGTTTTGAATGTTCTGGATACCGTTGCCCCTGTGACGGTTAAAATAGTGAAAAATAAGCAGAAGGCGCCGTGGGCTAAAGCAGACTCGGTCAGAGCACTGAAGAGAAAGTGCCGGAGGGTCGAGCGGACGTGGCGCAAGTCCAATCTCCAGGTTGATAACGAGATCTTCAAAGATAAGTTGTGCGAGTTTAACCAGGTGCTACGTAGTACGAGAGAAAGGTATTTTTCTGAAATGATTGAAGGCTGCAGCAACAATCTGCGTGTTCTGTTCTCAACAGTTAATAGATTAACAAACCCCCCTGTTCAGATGCCATTAGAGCTTACTTCCAAACGTAAATGCAATTAGTTATTTTTTGAATGACAAGGTTCAAGGCATCAAAAACGCCATTGTCTCCAATCCACAGATAACCATCCAACAGCCAGAAAGGCTCTTTGAGCTAACTTACTTTGCACCTGTAAATGATCAAACTGTCCAAGAGACAATCTCCAATTTGAGCTCCTCCACATGCAGCCTGGATGTACTACCCACTAGATTTCTGAAGTCTGTTCTGAGCAGTCAGTTACCTTCACTCACACAGATAGTAAACATGTCCCTTCATTCTGGAATATTCCCAAAGGCCCTGAAAACTGCAGTCATCAGGCCCCTGCTTAAAAAGAGCAGTCTAGATGCTACGGTACTTAACAACTATCGTCCCATCTCAAATCTGCCATTTATTGGGAAAGTCCTTGAGAAAGTTGTCTACCTACAGCTTACTAGATTTCTTATAATCAACAACTCATTTGATATGTTTCAGTCCGGCTTTAGACCCCACCACAGCACTGAGACTGCTCTCGTCAAGGTTACAAACGATATCCGGCTAAACACTGACGCAGGCAAATTCTCAATCTTAATCTTGTTAGATCTAAGTGCTGCCTTTGACACTGTCGACCATGAGATCCTCTTACAGAGATTAGAGGACTGGGTTGGCGTCGCTGGCATCGCTCTAAGTTGGTTTGGGTCTTACTTTGAGGACAGGAAGTACTTTGTGGAGATTGGAAACTGTGTCTCAGATCATATGGCCCTGACCTGTGGAGTACCACAGGGGTCGATCCTGGGACCTCTTCTGTTCAATCTCTACATGCTGCCGTTAGGTCAGTTAATACGCAGAAACAAAGTGTCCTATCACAACTATGCAGATGACACTCAGATCTATGTCTCACTGACTGCAGGAGAACATGGACCAGTGGACTCACTCCTTCACTGTATCCAACAGATCAGTGAGTGGATGCAAAACAACTTCCTTCAGCTAAACGCAGACAAAACTGAAATGATTGTCTTTGGTCCCCAGAAACAAAGAGAGAGCGTCATCTGTCACCTACAGTCTCTCTCCCTAAAACCTTCAAACAAGGTCAGAAATCTAGGGGTAATACTGGACTCAGACTTAAATTTTAATAGCCACATCAAATCAGTAACATCAGCAGCTTTTTACCATCTAAAAAACATTGCCAGGATCAAAAACATAGTGTCTAAAGCAGACCTGGAGATTCTTATCCATGCATTTGTCTCCAGTAGGTTAGACTACTGCAATGGCCTGCTCACAGGTCTGTCCAAACAGGCTGTAAAACAGCTGCAGTACATTCAAAATGCAGCAGCTCGAGTCCTGACAAGAACCAGGAAGTACGACCACATTAGTCCAGTCCTCAGGTCTCTGCACTGGCTTCATGTGGCTCAGAGAATAGACTTTAAAACAGCTCTGCTTGTTACAAGTCTCTCCATGGCCTCGCACCAAAATATATTAGTCCCATATGAACCAGCCCGGACTCTGAGGAGCACAGGGACTGGACTCCTGTTAGTGCCCAGAGTCAGAACTAAACATGGGGAGGCTGCTTTTCAGATTCATGCTGCTAAAATCTGGAACAGTCTTCCTGAAGATGTGAGACAGGCCTCCTATCTGACAATGTTTAAAACCAGGTTAAAGACAGTTCTGTTTAGCTGTGCATACAACTGAGGGATTTTATATTTTTATCTTTTAAAAAAATTTTTTTTAATGTACTGTGATTATTTATGATTTTAATGCTTTCTTGTTTTGTTCAGCACTTTGAGTTGCCTTGTGTATGAATTGTGCTATACAAATAAACTTGCCTTGCCTATAACCTATCCTGATGCTAACTCACTAACAAACTAAGGTCTATTTGATGGAGAAGGGAGCAGGTCTAACGACCCTGCTGAGGCTAACGACCCTAACTCATTAGCATGTCACAGACCTATTGTCTGCTGGGATGCTCAAGTGGAGTGCAGGTCTCACCCCTCCTAACTCATTAGCACGTCACTGACCTAGTCCCAAGTTAGGGCGTTGTTTTTAGGATGTCGTCATAGATGCGAGGCAAAACAAATCTTAATCCTCCTCCTCTGTTAAGAGAAGGTTTTTGTTTCCTCACAAAAATGGCTTCTTTCACCCCTCTCACAAACCAATTTTTGTCTCGAGCCAGAATTTTAACCTCAGTGTTGTTCACGGTGTGGTTGGTGGCCTTGAGTTGGAGATGAACAGCTGATTGAGGCCCACTAAAGTTTTCTCTACGATGTTGGTAAAGTCGTTCCTGTAGAGTACAGAACCTGTATTTGGTCTCAGGATCCATCGCTCCAGGACCAGTTTGTTGCTTTGGTTTCAGGATCCACTGTGCTCAGAGCGATAGAGGGATTGAAGACAGAAGCGGGGGCTTGTATCTTTTTTTTATTTCTGTTCTCTCTCTCCTAACATTTGCTTTTATAGTGCGCAGACACAGAGCAGAAGAGGCTAAGGAGGAGATGGTGACGGAACATTCTTCTGACTCTGACACGGGAGGTAGACGTGTCGTTCAAAACCAGGTCAGAGAGGAGGAGCTGGGACCAGTGGAGGCCCTCACCGAGAACTCCTCCGACTCCGAACCAGAAGAGAATCCCTCAAACGCTGTCAAGGTTGTCAAGGTTGTCAAGGTTGTCAACACCGTCACCAGGTGAGACTACAACCAAACAGGTCTTCTAGACAGTTGCACACATGTGGGCCAGGGGAAGAATGTGCAAAAACCATACCCGCACCAGAAGCAGGACCATACTTTGCATTTTGACAGCGTAACGAGCTGGGGAGCTGTGTTTGGGAAGTTGCGCTGCCCTTTCCTTTATGAAGTTGTCCTTATAAAAAATACGTTGAAAAGTGCCTCTATTGGTCCATGTGGAAGAGACCTGTTCTCTGGTCTGAGAGGGAATGTTCAGTGGTCCAAACAACACGCCGACAATTTCTTCGCACACGGACTGTTTCAGGTTCAGTTTCTAACGCGACCTCGTCTTGTTTTTCAGGACAGATAACACAGAGCCGCTGACAGAGCATTCGTCTCAGTCTGAAGGAGAAGACGCTCAGACGCCATCTCAGCGCCCTCCCGTCGCCACGCCGCAGTTCTCGTGTTCCTTTTGCGGCAAACGCTTCAGCAAGAAGTCAATCCTGAAGCTGCACGAGGCGTTCCACCAGGACAGCCGGCCCTTCGAGTGCTTCGAGTGCGGACAGAGCTTCACCAAGCAGCACCGGCTCGACCGCCACATGAAGTTCCACAAGCGCAGGAGGCCGCGGCACCGGGAGGATGCGGCGCAGAAGGAGGAGGCGGTGGAGGAGAAGAGGGAGGGGGGCGCGCCACAGGATGCCCACGGCCGAGACGCGGTTGAAAAACTTGCAGCTGGCTGGGATGCACAGGCCGTCAGCCCGTCTGCAGTGATCACAGCAACGATAGACCAGCTGTTGGTGGGCAATTCTGCGGCCAAGTTTGAAGAGGTGATGTCATGATCTGGTTTTTCATGGTTTCTTTAGACTCGAAGTAGAATCTTGTGTGAAGTGTACACGAGCCGTGGTAAGCTATGTCAAACTCACGTTCTTGAGCCTCGTCATATTCCGGAGCCAAACAGCAGCTGATCCTCGCATGCCTGAAGAAGGCCTGACGTGGCCGAAAGTCCAGTTCATTAGACGAGTTTGATTTACTGCCTCAGATTTCTTTTCCTCAGCAGCTGATTATTTGTTTGTTTTATGGTTGTTACTCTTTTTTTACAGGAACAGACTGAAGCTGTTGCTGAGAACAATACAGCGGAGCAGCTGGATCTCACGTCGTGCGCAGAAAATCCGGAGTGTCCTGTCTGTGGGAAAACCTTCTCCAACACGGGCAATATGACGAAACACGTGCGTGACATCCACGGCAAAAAGTCATTTTTCCAGCCTAACTTGAAGAAGAGCCTGGAGTTCCGCCACACGCATCTGCAGTGCGCGCAGTGTAACCAGCGCTTCCGCTTCCGCAGTGCGCTGTCTCGACACATGGACGAGGCTCACGGCACACCACCCAGCATGCAGCCGCAGAGCAACCCAACAAAACGCTTCCCATGCGCGATTTGTCAGAAGAGCTTCCAGTTTCAAAGTGGGCTTTGGCGCCATAAGGTGAATGCCCACAGCGCCCCTCCGAAGGCCCACAGCGCTCCGAGCCCCAAGCCCTATCAGTGCCCCGTGTGCAAAAAGTGCTTCCGGGACAAGCATTATCTGCTGGACCATGTGCGCATTCACAACGGGGAGAAGCCGTACCAGTGCGCGAGCTGCAGCAAAGTGTTCACCTTCAGGACTTCGCTGAAAATGCACATGAAGCAGCATGTGGGGAAGAATGGCAGTGCGTATTAGGACACACGCAGCTCAGGGACAGCGTGAGGTTATAACATGAGATCTTCTTTTATCATTCAGAATCATTCTGATGATTTCTGACAGTTTTAAGTTAAGATCTTAGTTTCTTCAAATACAAATGATCGTTCTATGTTGAAGTTAAGCAGAGTTTAGAACTGATGACATCACAGAGGGGCTGATGTCATCATAGGGGGAACCTCTCAGAGGGACATCGCTTATGTAATGGTTGGCACTAGATCATATAAACAGAATCGGGACGGTAGCTAATATAACCAACTACCTAAACTAATAGATAGTTATAATAATAGATAGTAGGAGTTACTTCCTATAGAGTAACTCCAACCCAGCCTTAACCCTAACCTTAACCCTAACCATCTTACTCGGAGACCTAAAGTCACCACTTAAGGACTTGTTCTTCTAAAACTAATTAGTATGTAATCAGTCCCCCTGTGATGAAATATAAATACATAAACTATGAACTGCTAAATTATGAATATGATGCAACCGGTCTGCTCTGCGTGCAGCAGAGTGTGCGCTGTCTAAAGTTTGACTCTTTAATAGTTGTTTGCTGCCTTAAGTGTGATTGCCACTGACATTACCGCTTGGATTACGCTGCGCTGAATCAATTTGACAAACCATGCCACCAAAAAAAGGCCCGACACCGAGGAAACAAAAACAATATGAAGAAAACCTGGGACATACTAAACAGAGTAATAAAACAAGGATCAACAAAAAAAGTGTATCCAGATGACTTTGATGACATTAGTGGTGATAAGCACAACATTAACAACATAGTAAAGGTTTTAAGTTTTTTTGTAAACATTGGTCCACAGCTTTCCGACAATATTCCAAAAGAAAGTAATAGTTTAAGTATCAATCCAATTCCACTGAATCCTCATTCAAGATTTCTTGTTGCAACCAATCAACATGAAGTCAAAGAAGTTGTCCTCAAATGAAAAATCAAATTCTCCACAGATTGTCATGGTATGGACATGGCACTTTTGAAAAAAGTCAAACAATGTTGTCAAACCCCTAACTCACATATTTAATCTCTCTCCAGTCTGGATGTTTCCCAAATAAAATGAAAAAAGCTAAAGTCATACCAATATTTAAAATTTTATTTTGCAGTTCTCAAAAGTCTTGGAAAAAATATTAATCTCTCGTTTGGAATTTTTTTGTTGACAAACATGATCTCTTAAACAATAGTCAGTATGGATTCAGAGGAAAAAGAACCACTTCAATGGCTATAACTGAAGCAATAGAAGAAATAACTAACTCATTGGATCAAAAATTACATGCCATAGGAATCTTGATTGACTTTGATAGGAATCTTTAAAAGCCTTTGATACGATAAATCACTCAATACTGCTGGAGAAATTACAAACATATGGTATCAGGGGTGTCGCTGGAAACTGGCTACGTACTGGTAGGGTACAGTTTGTTCAAATGGGGGATCATGTCTCTGAAAATCTTGGCTGTGGTGTCCCCCAGGGGTCAGTGTTGGGTCCAATACTGTTTAATCGCTACATCAATGATATATTTGAAGTATCGCAGTTAAATTAAAAACTAGTTCTTTTTGCAGATGACACAAGCATTTTTTGTAGTCGTTCAGACTGCAGCAACTTATTGATGCAAATGAATGGATGCAAACAAACTGTCCCTGAATCTAAATAAAACAAAGGCAATAATTTTTGGTTATGCTAAGAAAAATACAGAGTTTAAAATCAATATTGATGGAGTTGAAATTGAAAATGTTGCTGAAAATAAATTCTTATGTGTAATCATGGAAAGCCCATATCAGTCATGTGAAGACAAAACTAGCTAGTGACTGGATCTTTAAAGTTGCTACCAGGTGCGTCCGGGATTTATGTCTGACAAAGGGACTCAGCCCGAAACGTTACAGCGTGGTCTGTAAATAAAATACACTGATTGGGAGCTATAGCTGTGCGGATTTTTGCTCACTGTTTTTACATTTTCCAATTTTTTAAATCCAGCACGCTAGCCCAGACTACAGGGATGTATTTGAAGGCCTTATTTGAACATTTCAAGGCAAAAATAGCTAAAAACATCTCAATCATGAATAAAGCGAAATATTATCTTGATTTTCATGCACTTCACACATTTTGTTGTTCGTTGGTATTGTCCTACCTAACATACTGTGTTGAAGTGTGGGGAAACAACTACCAATGTTCAACAACGCCCATTTTGTTATTGCAGAAACGAGCCTTGCGGATCATTCATGAAACAAACTACTTGCATCACACTCACAAACTTTTAAATCAAAAATACTAAAATTCCCAGACCTCGTAAAATTCTATCAGGCTATTCAAAGCATTTCACAAAATTTTACCTTTTATAACATAAAAACATATTTTGTGCTGAAAGAAAATAACTATAATCTAAGAGGTCTTGGAATTCTTAAACTTCCCAAATTTTGATCAACTCGTAAAAGTTTCTGTGTGACTGTATGTGGTGTGAAACTGTGGAATGCTTTGGATCCTCAATTAATGTAATGCCAAGATATTCAGATTTAAGTCATTATTTAAAGGCTATGTCTGGTCCGAATACAGAGAGATTATGACCTGAATGTATTTCTATGTACAGTAGCTTTTCCCTCGACTCATGTCTGCATATACTGTAATTGTACTTGTTACTTACATTTTGGAGCATGTTTCATTAACATTGTTGGTTATTGTTTTGTTTTTTTTGCATGCAGTTTTCTGCCCTCGTAGGGCTTACATTTGTCCTTTGTTGACATTCTCAAAACCTATTCTGCTTATGATCAAGATGTTTAAGATATTGCAATAGGTTGGAGCCAATAGGAAGCCTTTACTTTACCTTTGTAATGACTGAAGTAATTAGGGGTGGGATTATATAAGTGTTTACTTCTTCCCACTCCTTTTTGAGCATCCATAAATGTGATGTTTGTATGATTTACTCTCTTTGTTATTACTCTTGGTTATATTTTTTTAATGTACCTACGTCGCTTGTGATTAATTTGTACTAATTATTTCTATGCCCACTTACTTGCTCGAAATAAATACAATAAAAAAAAATAAACGGTAGAACCTACAGTACACTGAGGAGCAGCAGACGTGATGTGCTGCAGTGTCCTCTCTCTGGGTCACATGACCAGCGGCCTCAGCTGAGCGTCATCGACACGACTGAAGGGATGAATCTACGTCTAATAGTATTGTTTATATTTGAGTGTGTTCACAGTAAAGTGACAATTGAAGTATCTGGACTTTAAAAGGTTATAACTTAAAAACTAAAATTACTTTCATAGATTGGAAAAAAGATTTCAAACACAGACACATTGAAGAGATAGTGTGGAAAAAATTAAAAGGAAAGATTGACATAAAAATGTTTAGCAACATTTTAAACGACCAAATCAGCCTCTGATTGGACCATTCTACTGTGACGCCAGTTACATAGAAAATAAAATATCCTCAGTCTGAAAAAGCAGAAGATGAAATCCCACAATATTTACATGGTTAACACAACAGAAGGAAATCACTTGGTATAAAAAGGAATCGTGAAAAAATTAAAATAAATTAATTAATTAAATGACCCCTGAAAAATGTATAACGGACGTGATGAGGACGGTCCTCTTTTCTCTAAAAATTAAACTTGAGAAGAAAAAAAAAATCTTGTCTGTTTTCACATTTAATTGGTTGACAATATGAAAGTATCGCTTTGCATCTACTTTGTGTAAAAAAATAGAATCTCTGAATCAAATGTGGACATCTGAAAATACCTATCAAACTTCAACAAAGCTCATTCCGTCAAATCATCGTCTGTTACATAAAATAAACAGGGGCGCTATAGGAAACTTGTCTAATGTATAAAACAGTTATGTTCTAGCAACTTCTAATGGACTGAGGAGGTGTTTGGAAACATGAAAAACATAAAATATCTTCTGATTATTAAAATCTAATTTTTGGCCTTTTGTCACACTTATGTGCCCTTTAGTGTGAACAAGCCCACTTGATAAAACATTTGTAAAACAAACACAGAACAGTGTGTGTCTGCATGTGTGTGTTTTTATGGGTGGCACGGTGGCTGAGTGGGGTTTGCATGTTCTCCCCGTGTCTGCGTAGGTTTCCTCCGGGTTCTCCGGTTTCCCCTACCACTAAAAATATGTACAATAGGTCTGGCATGTGCCTCCTGTTCGGCGACCCTGCTCCCATCTCTGTGTGGAGTGAGAGGACAAGTGCCCAAAAATAACAATTGTAAACCGCTTTGTGACTCTGGTCTGTGAAAGGCGGTATATAAATAAAGATTACTTATTTACCATAAGACTAATGAAGAATAAACATCATTATTAATCCATATACTTTGTCTTCCCGAAGCTGGTATAGGGGGAAACGACACGCAAACAACCACTCACACCAAATTTATTTTATTGCTTTGAAGGTTCTAGAATATTCCAATGAGCCACTGACAGAAGTTGTTCAGGTTCTTTGTTTAAGACATTTGAAGATGTTTTAGCGACAGTGGCTCAGTTGGTAGCAAGGTTGTGGGTTCGAGCCCACCACTAGACCCTCACAACTCCCACTGATGACTGCTGTCGTTGTGTCCTTGGGCAAGACACTTAACCCCCTTTTGTCTGAAGCCCCCAGTGAAAAATCACGGCTCCTGTGGACTCACCACCTGCAGGAGGATCAGTGAGGGGCTGGTGCTAAGTGTACTGGGTGCAGCTCTGACTGCCACCCCCCCCGACCCAGAAATGGATTAAAGGGAAGAAAATGGATGGATGTTTTAACCTTGGTGTGTTTCCGGTCTGAAGCCCCAGCTCCACCATTCTTACTCTACTCTAGGCTACCCTACATGTCTACTCAGCACTGCTCTACCTGGTTGTATTTCTGGTATCTAGTACTATATCTTAGCAACCTACACACAACACAATAGTATCCATGTACATTCATTGGCTTCCAGCAGCACTCTGGCTGTTCACTGTCAGTTGGAACACTTAAGCACCAGCTTAGCCTGGACAGAAC